AGAATTTTACCAGGGCAAACGGCGAAGGGAAAAAGCAGACTCATTCATTGCATCGCGATTAGTCAAAAGACAAAGTTCGCGGACAAAATAAAGAAGTTTTTCCAACGCACACGAGTGTACTAGTCATTCCGAACCATTCTACCCAAACTGGTGACCCCGACGACGAACACAACGACGCAACCTCCCGATCAACCTACATCATTGTAAATATTGTACATAGTAGCTTTAGACCCGGATGTAGGTTGATTCAGTTAGGATCAGGTAACATTTGCTCTACCTCGGGCATTAAAACGAGCAGAGCAGAGCTACGAAGGCTCCTCCTTACGACCGCGTCGATGCCTATAAGGTATAGCAAATATCTAGCATGGAAAGGACCACCATCTTAGATATCGTTATCCACTGGCAGGGAGGTATGTGACGGCTACCTCCAGACCCGCCAGCAGATGGCTCCTCTTCCTGCTAGTAACGGATCCGCCCTCGATTCCTATATATACAGACTTCGTCCTTCCTACCCCCACGTCTAAGGCAAGGGCCCGCTAGGATAGCCTTACTGATGAGTCCTCTAACAGGCCCCGGACGAAACGTCGTCTCCCCTCTCCTTTTCTCAACCAAACATCCACACTTACGACCGCCGCCAAAAAAAAAATATAAGTGGAATTACTCTATTCGGGCCTCGATACGACGACAATTCTGAAGGGGCAGCGACGATTCGACGATAATTCCGAGAGGACATGCGACGATTCGCATTCCATACCATGATTCGAGTCTACACGTTTGATGTAGAGTGTGAAGGAAAACCATCACCGTTATTTTTATATGATACTACGATATTACACGTTTCCAAGGATGTGATTTCGATGTGATATTAGCTCTGAAATTGGTAGTAGAAGAAAGTAAACGAAAGTAGTAGAGAAAAGCAGCAGCAGGAGAGAAATACCTAAACAAATGTTAAATAAAAGGGGTTTGCATTCTGTATAAGCAAAGTCTTTATTGGAGAAACAATGAAGATCCGTTCGACGTCCCTACAGCGCCAATTAGGCTAGTTTTAGAAACAGATGTAGAGCAACATTTGATGATACTTTTATATGTGAGAGGTATAGGATTAACATTAAATAAAAATATTAAAAGTAATTATTATAATAATAATGATGACGATGATGATAATAATAATATCTTTTGGAATTTTGAACACTGCTTGTTTATTACTTATGTACAATACTTTGTGTATGGTACTATAAACGCATTACTATAGCAAAAATTCTTAAGACAAACAAAATCATTCGAACAATTAAGGGATTTAATTGATGAACCTCACCTTTGAAAAACTGTACACATATTAACCAAAGCATACACCACAATAAGTTTGGATCCCTGAAATTTAATAAGTATAGTACTATATTTTTTGGAAGATCATTTTGAAAGACTATTAATGTTATTCGTTCTTATAAAATTTTCTAACTGGAATGCAAATAAATAAGAGTTTACTGAAATACTTCAATTATATTAGGTGTGTATACATTGGCTGAATATTATCAACGTAATAAAAATACATAATTTTTCTTTCTTGTTTGTAACGTCTCGTCGCACGAGCATACGTTTTAATGAAATAATAGGCACTGCACATACATAAGTACCTTTGCCTTATCGAACGAAGAAGCAAAAGCACCAGTTCTTTGTGAAATATCATTACGTACGGGCGAGTTTCATTAAAGAGCTTCGTATCGATATCATTAAAAAAAACACATTATATAAAATTATGGTTACACACATATATGTGTGTGACCATAAAGTTATCTCTCTCTCTCTCTCTCTCTCTCGCTCTGTGTGTGTGTGTGTGTATGTGTCCGATACTTTGCGGAATTAGGTATTAAACAACCAAGCAAGAATTCAATCAATCTCAAAATCTATCGACTCGATCGCTGTAGAAATCGTAATTTATTCGTCTCATTATGAAAAAATGCCAAACATTTAACAGAAAATAAAGAAAATAGTGGAATTTTCATGTTGTAGATGAATAAAGACATTTGAAGAAACCCTTGCAGTAACAATGTTCGCCGAGAATATTTGGAAAAATTGTATTTTACGTAGATGTATCTACAATCGAAACGTTGGCGATCTGAGAACTTACACATACATATACATCAAGTAATACACTAAACATAGTTGAGCGTTGTTGAATTTTTTGTTTCACTTTTCAATCCGCATTTATACCCTGCTATAAGTTATAGTTCTCCGGGCGCCAACGCAATCAAGCACAATCAACGTGATCTAATGAAAATATAGGGACGTAATATATACTCTGATCATTCGTACAAATTTATACTGATATGATTTTCTTTGTTCTATTGCAATGCCGTACTTAAGGAATAGCGTTTCATTTGGCATCTTTCGGTGGCGACAACAAGGCTTCCGACGTTACATTGTTTAAACTACATGCATTTTCATTATCATTCGAGGCTTTCTCACTCTGTACCGCAGTTGATACGAATTCCATGTTCGTTACCTTCTCTTCGTTTAAGGTTTCTCTGAAATATAGAGACGTAGTGCATGATTTTATAATTATTAGATAATATTACAAAATATATCCAGTCTTTTATTACCTGCTGTCCGAAATTGTAGAAATTTCATTTGGATTTGCATTACTATCTGCAGTAATATTGGCGGGAGAAAGAATAGACGTGGCAACCGGAGCCGAAGCAGTATCAGCCGGCGGAGCAGTAACAGCCGAAGCCGTAACAGCCGGAACAGTGACAACCGGAGCAGTAACAACCGGAGCAGTAACAGCCGGAGCAGTAACAGCCGGAGCAGTAACAACTGGGGCATAAGGAGGAGAAAACGAATTCTCCTCGATACTTTCTTGATTCGTGTTCGATTTTATATGCGAAGCTGTACCATCAGCTGTATTTTCAACTTTCACTTGATCCGTGTCAACATCTGCTACCATCGGTTTATTTTTTTGCGCAACAGGTTCTCCTTGACTTGGATCCATTGGTAAAGCCTGTCGATGTTGTTGTTCCTGTTGTTCTTGTTCTTCTCCTTCGTCTCCTTCTTCTTCTTCTGCCTCTTCTTGAATTTCATCGCCTAATTTGGTATCAAAATTTGCCCAACCAGTAGAATCAGCTACTGCATCTGAAGGTGCACTCTCCCATGGATTCACTTCAGGAAGTGTGTTACCGGTAGACAACGGTTCAGTTGAATCCCAAGCTAACGCAATAATATAAACTATGAAAAATATTCCTAACGAATACATTATGTTTTACCTATACTGTACGTCTATTTATAAAGATAAAAAGGTATGTATCTTTCACATAATAAATGATTAAAAAGAAAAAAGAAAAATGAACAGATTACGCAACTGTGTGAATCGTTGAATTCGAACAAACTAATAAATAACTACCGGTAGGTAATAATAAAAAAAAAAGAAGAAAAAATACAGAGAATAGTAGAGAATAGTAAACAGAAACTTGTTTACGGAAAATGAATGATCTTGGGCGAAACACAAACCTTCATCATCTTCGTCGAACGAGTTTGAATCGTTACAATGTTGTTTCCCTGACCAAGCTTGTTTTTCTACAACAGTTTGAAAAGTTAGCTCGCCTTCGTCGCCCCAATCTGCTCCTGCGCTACAGTCTTCTAAACCAATCTTTTGCTTCTCTTCGCATATCTATAAATAAAAAGATTCGTCATCAACTCGACTCGAAAATATTAAGAATTTGTATCTAACGTTGTATTAACGTTTAACCTGTACCTTATTGAACATATCTTCTCTTTCTTCGTAATCTTCGTTAACAGTAAAAGCCAACGTTGTTAGTTGGTCGACCTTGTTACTAAAATATTTTGTTTCGTAAGAAGACAAGTATTTTGAACGATACTGCACAGTATCATTTAGTATTCTCGTCATTTCTCGAAAGTACTAAATTTTTCAAACAATGTACAGAACGACGAGCTCTAATATGCTTTGGTAATAATGGGAAATATATGTATAGAGCTCGCGTGCGGTAAGGTATTCATGATATAGAGAGATACTTTTCAAAGTACACATAATACTCTTAACTATAATGTAAATTACTTACTGAATCTCATTTTCGCTGCCATTAAATTCACCATCGTTAAAGCCAAAGTTTTCAATAAACTGCGGTGTCATATGTTGGCCCACATAGTTGGTGTAAAACTATTTATGTTATACAATATTATAGAAAATAACAATATTTTTGTGTTTACAGATAGAACTCGGTTGTCTATAGTAACCTACTACTATACTATCCCTACTACTCTACTACTTTACGAAAAGAAAAGATATAGAAATACTAACTTGCGTGACTTCTTGAGGGTATGAACTATATCCATCCAGATTTTCACCGGACACTTGAGTTTTTCCACTCTAAAAGTTTACATTAAATCAAGTATTAAGAAATATGATGCTACAAGCATATTGCTTCATCAGGATCGAAGGTTCGACAAATTCATTTCTGAAAAATGTTCACCTACCAGTAGCATTTGATGAGTTTCGTTAATTTTTGCTAAATCCGTATTCACAAGGTTTTTCCATTTGTTAAGACACTTACGTGATAAATTAGCCTTCAGAAATTTATCTAAGTTTGCGCTCTTCTTACATTGGTTAACGATATTATTTGCAATATTTATTAAATGGCCCATATATCCCTGTCTAACACCATTCTCGGAATTTCTAAAATACAACAATAACAATTATGAATGAAACTTTTGCAGCCACGTAAAAGGTGAATATGTGTACATGACTGTTCAACCTACTGTTTATTATCATTTTTGTCCCATGCTTCTAAAATTTGATCTATTAATCTGCACTCGATAAATATCTGAAAGTTCGTACGTGATTAAACTTACGTTTCTTTCTTTTTGTTTTTCCACCATGGTGTGCTCTTGTCACCGAATCTAATACTTACATTAGCATAAATAATGTCATTTGCATCCTTAAAATCACAATTAATAGCTAAAGCCAGGCACGATTGTACTTGAGTGTGTAGGAAATTGTTCCACGTATATTTAAAAAATAAGTCCTTAAGAACAAAAAAATACATGGGATTTAAATAGTGTGTCAGTTTAGTAGTGTAACTTTAAGCGTTACGTTAATTTATCATATTCCATGATCACAAGTATTGTCTCACCAGTAATGTTTGGAATGTTCCTAGTTCTACTAAGGTCTCATAAATTTTTACATTTTCTACCGTCAATAACGCAGCGAATAACTTTGCAACATGTATACGAGTATTACCTAATGGACAGTCTAAGATTCCTGCAGTTGTTTTAACAGGAGGTTTCTGCGATAAAGAATATGTTTTCAAAGTATTTTTGTAAAAATATCATGTATTACATACATATACAAAAGATACCTATACTGTATTTGTACACTTACATAAGGAGGATCTAACAAGACTTTGTGAAGTTGTTCTAAATAAGGCAGAGTCGCGTTCGAAATTTTTATACGTTGTTCGTTATCTGTAACCTCGTCCCCTATACCATTACCATGGACATCTCCTTCGTTCAATGCGCTAATATCAACAAAAATATTATCGTTTTTAATAGATTCGATTCTCCATAAGACGATAAAATACATTTTGAACATGAAGAACCATTTGCACTCTTACTTGTTAGATTTTTTGTCTAGAAGCGTGAGAAGTACCTGAATTCCTCCAACAATACTACTTTCTAAGTGTTCTCCGTTCAAAATAGTTTCCAGCAACAGACTCACTGTGTCTGACCTATAAAAGAACATGGACGATAATCTTACAATGTATTATGATTTTCTTTTCTTTTGATTTTTTTATACTTACGATTCAAGAGTATTTAAAATAGGATCTGGATCGGTGTTTTTTGTTAATGTATGTTGATTCTCCCTCGTAACACTTATCATATCGCAAAGTAATTGTGCAGCGTTCGCATGTTTACTCGGTTCAGAATTAGGAGACAATAATTTTACCAACCTTTGCACTAATTGTTGACTATCTAACCACTGTCGAAGCAAACATATACATCAAGTTTCGTACAAAGAAATGTAACCAACTATATTAGTATCGTGAAATCTGGACTTGCTGCAAGTGACAGATATTGCATTGTCTAAGATTACGTGATACCAAGATATTGAACATACGATTCCTCACATTTAATACATATTGCCGCACGTCGGTGCCTTCAACCTGGGTAACCAGTTTTAGTACCAAGTCCATAATCGCTGAGGTTTCTAAATGTTGCAAAAGCAGATCGACGCATGTTTCACGATTTATCAAAAACTCTAACACCTGTAAACAAGTGAACTGATACGAGTACCAGTTCTGGTAAAAAAAGAAAAATTTAATATTTATTTTATAATTAAACTATTATTTCATAGAACCGTACGTATTAATTTATAATCACCTGATCTGCTTTACGGGCGATGAGTACTCCGATAGTTTTACTAAAAAATGAGGCTAACAAAGGATTTAATGGTTGATCCGTATCAATAAATGAATAGAGTTTTGCCAAAAGTGCTTCGTTGCCTGAAATATAATATGATATAAACACTCTTCTTTCCATAATTATTTTTACCATTAATTTAAGTGAATACCTACCTGCTAATTTCTCATTCAAAGCTGATATATCACAAGTTAGTAATTCGCAAGCTAAACTTGGATATTTGTAACGAGAACGTTCCTCTATGTCTGTGGATGGTTCCTTGGTTGTGAGTGTTATCAATTCTTCCATTACATCGGATCTAGTTAAACTACAAGTAATATTATTGTAGAGTTAATTTAATGTTAACAATCGATAAATGTTGGTTTTCCTTTACTTACTATTCCACAAGTTTTTTATTTTGGCTTTTACATTCTATCAATATATCATCTTCGTCCATTACTTCGTACAACGTAACATCCTAAAATTAGAGGTACGATTACATTTATTATTTTGATTGGTACCAACAAGGCGCTTGGAAATCCTGAACGATAAAAAGCAGTTTGTCATTTTACAAATGATAAAGAAATATGTGCGGTATTATCTGGTTCTAGAAACGTACTATAAATTGTCTAATAACATCTACTGTTGTGTCGTCTATGCGTATTAAATTGTTTTCTTAATAATTTGTAATTCCATTTATGAAATGGTTGGTTCGCTAACCCAGGAGACGAAAGAATTATGTTGCACGAAGGTAAAGGAAATTAACTATATAAAAGAAGGAGCACATAATTGTAATCTCATGCATCGATATTATCGATAAAGATGAAGGCAATAATCCAGATGGTACGTCTTGAATTTTTTAAATCAGTTATAAATTTTTGTAAATCGACAATTAGCGAAATTACATTCTCGTAAACGGAGAATAGATTTGCTTACCTCCTTATCAAGGAGTGCCTCCATATTAGGCGATGACACGTAATTCTTTGCCCAAAACATGATGCGGTCGTTCGTTTCGTCTTTGCTCGAATACAATACGATTAATCGGACGCGAAACTAATCACAACATTGAAGTGGTGGCCACTAAAAAAATAACGTAATACTTCGCGAAAAGAAGAGCCAACTAACATCGCATGGACACGTATTAAAACGATGACAACGCTGTCTGTAATTGCAGTGACAATCGCTGCAAGAGCCAAAGTAACGAATGAAATGTGCCCTTTTTCCTCGGAAATAAAATTGATTGCAAAATGTCACCTTTTCTTCCAAAAGCAGAAACTCTTTGACGATTGTTTTAACTTTGACGTTTGCTGCAGAAGCGATACTATATGAACATACTGCAATCGACTTTCGACTTCGACTGACTTCGACTAGTCAAACGCGAGACAGAATACTACATGCATACATACATATGTACATATATACATACATACATACATACATATGTACATATTTCAAAATGTACATTCGATTGTGCGATTTGATAAATTTGAATGTCTCTTTAGAAGGTTAAACAAATATTTGCAAAATATTTGTTCACGAGATTCGAACACTAAAGCTGGAGAATAAAAATAAAATTTCATTCAACGTGAAAGAGAAATTACAATTTTCTAGATTCTTAAAGGGAAGGAACGTATGGTAGCTTCGTTATATAAATTATTGTTTCTTATATTAGATTATATTTCAGATATGCAACATGTCCTCTTCTTCTGTACATGTTTCTTCGAACATTGTACAAAGAAATACACAAATATGTTACGTTCTAATTCATAACCTAATAAACAGCATCAGAACGACGATTGTAAAAATATCTTTTCTGGGACACCATTGATAAAATCAACTCGACACACTGATTTACAACTTGTTCACCTATACAAGTATTATTAAACAATGCATGTGGAAACTTTTCATTGCTTATTATCTTACTAAGTCATCCGGGTCGACATCCATGGTGTCCACAAACTCATCATCTATGGCCTTGTCATCTTTGAATGTTGCTTGAACATCGTTCTTATTATGGTTCTGCATATTAATTGTCTTTTGAAAGCCACACCTATATTAAAAGTGTTATTGTTATTAGAAGATATTTTGTTTCTAAAATTAAAAAATTTTGTACTACGCAAATTATTGTTTAACTTTTGTTTCTTTGTAGGATCTGTACTCTCCAACTCTGAAATAATTCCGTAATCTTTCGAAGGTGACATTCATCCCAACTTGTCAAAACAGCAGCCCTATGTTGATTTGCAAAACGATAAATCATGTAACTTTTGGGCCCATCTTTGTATCTCATGCATTTTTCTGGATTTTCTGTATTCATAGAAGTCCAAAAAGATTAATGCCATACTTTCAATGGGAATAAATTCTCTCCCATATTTATGTCCTGCTACAGTTTCATCTTTCTTATAACTGTTGAAATAATGTACTGTAATGTAGTGCAAAATAACGTTGACATTAAGAGAGCCATTCTCCAGTGCTTCTCTCCCCACTAAAAAAATAAAAATATCAAACAATATCGTATGCTGCTTTAATCCGTGATAAAATAAAATTGCAGATAATAATATTTAATACATTGTAAGCAAGTGAATTCCATTCGTAGACAGATTCGTTGCGTTTTGAACTACATTCAAATTTCGAAATAATGTCAAGGTTAAACACTATAAACACTATCCCCCACCATTTTAATGCGCATTCAGATCGCGCAATTGCTTTAGAAAGAGAACTCACGAGTTCTCTCAAGTTTGTAGATTCATAAAGTAGAAACCATTAGCTAAAATGTAGCTTACGTGTTTTCGAGAATTTTGATAATTGTAGAAATGATTGCCGTTTCAAGACGTTCTCTCAAAGTACCTACGGGACGAAAAGTACAAGTTGAATATCGCGCCAAGTGTTTCAGATGGAGCGCTAAGCAAACTGATGCGCGAATAGAGTGAGATCGCAAGCATGTTTTAAGTAAGACTATAAAGCTACAATATGGGGTCATCGGTGCCACTTGTTTCGCTTGCGATGTGCTGATGTCATGCTCTCTTTACTCATTCGCCACTTCCTCTTTTTGTCTAAAACTGTGAGGGCGGCACTGTTTAGCTGTGAAACGTCAACCAATCAGAGGAGAAGCAGTTTCTCTACTTGCTTCATAATTCTACGCCGGTTGTCCCCGCCCGCATCGGCTTACTATGGTGAGACTCTACTGTACGTATACTTTATGTATTTAGTTTATATTATGCATACATGTACCATTTATTTGTACAGCGAAGTTGCCAATTGTCACGTGGGTTATTAATATTTGAAAAGATATTTCTTCTTGATTGCCCGAAAAAATTTTTCCAATTAATATGGGTAAGAAAGACAAAAATAAGAAGAAAGTGAGCGGTAGTGTGAAAACTGCATTAAAAACTGAAAAGAAATTAAGCTCGAAACAGAAAAAGGAATTAGTCGCACTGGGTGAGGTTAGTCGGATGTATAAACGATCAACAGTGATGGTTTAATTCCGAGATATTGTAACATTATAATAGAGAGAGAACAATTAATGTATTCTTGTGAAACTAGTGATTTTTTTCTGCAATGAATTCGTTTTAGGACGACATTGAAAATGTGATAGCCGAAATCGAAAAGGAAGAAGCTCGAAGGCAACGTGTTGTTGAAAAGCCGGTGGAACCACCGTCTCGACGTGTTAATTTTAGTTTAACAGCACATCCTTTTAAAGATGAGCTTATTATGCACGGAGGAGAATTTCATGATGGACGAACGGTATTTTCAGGAATATTCTTTCCATTATTTATACTTTATTGTAGATGTTATAAGTCATCGTAAAATAGTTTGAAGAACAAATGAATATTAAAAAATTTAATTTTCACTTAGACGTTTGTTTATGGAGATATGTTTACGTATAACATAAACAAAAACGAATGGACTGTGATAAGAGCACCTGGGGCTCCACCCCCCCGTTGCGGTCATCAAATGGTAGCGATACCAACGAATAGAGGGGAACTATGGGTATTCGGTGGTGAATTCTCTAGCCCATCGGAATCGCAATTTTATCATTACAAGGACTTATGGGTCTATCGAATTGAAGATAAAAAATGGGAAAAGATTCAGTATGCGCGCCGTTTGTTGATATTAAGTAGAAGCAGTATTTTGTTGTTAATCTAATGAAATTTGAATAGGGCTGTTGGTGGTCCATCTGCTAGAAGCGGTCATAGAATGGTTCATGTAAAAAGACAATTGATAGTTTTTGGCGGCTTTCATGATAATTTGAGGGATTACAAATATTTTAATGATGTGTACTCGTTTCACCTTGAAACATATACTTGGCAAAAGATTGAATTAACTGGTAAGACTGTGGCGCATAGAATCTGTTCTGCGATGGTGAAATTATCAAATTTTAGGTAACCCGCCACTTCCAAGATCTGGCTGTATAGTGTTGCCAACGCCTGAAAATAAATTACTTGTATACGGTGGTTACAGTAAAGACAGAATAAAGAAGGATGTGGATAANCGCGCAATTGCTTTAGAAAGAGAACTCACGAGTTCTCTCAAGTTTGTAGATTCATAAAGTAGAAACCATTAGCTAAAATGTAGCTTACGTGTTTTCGAGAATTTTGATAATTGTAGAAATGATTGCCGTTTCAAGACGTTCTCTCAAAGTACCTACGGGACGAAAAGTACAAGTTGAATATCGCGCCAAGTGTTTCAGATGGAGCGCTAAGCAAACTGATGCGCGAATAGAGTGAGATCGCAAGCATGTTTTAAGTAAGACTATAAAGCTACAATATGGGGTCATCGGTGCCACTTGTTTCGCTTGCGATGTGCTGATGTCATGCTCTCTTTACTCATTCGCCACTTCCTCTTTTTGTCTAAAACTGTGAGGGCGGCACTGTTTAGCTGTGAAACGTCAACCAATCAGAGGAGAAGCAGTTTCTCTACTTGCTTCATAATTCTACGCCGGTTGTCCCCGCCCGCATCGGCTTACTATGGTGAGACTCTACTGTACGTATACTTTATGTATTTAGTTTATATTATGCATACATGTACCATTTATTTGTACAGCGAAGTTGCCAATTGTCACGTGGGTTATTAATATTTGAAAAGATATTTCTTCTTGATTGCCCGAAAAAATTTTTCCAATTAATATGGGTAAGAAAGACAAAAATAAGAAGAAAGTGAGCGGTAGTGTGAAAACTGCATTAAAAACTGAAAAGAAATTAAGCTCGAAACAGAAAAAGGAATTAGTCGCACTGGGTGAGGTTAGTCGGATGTATAAACGATCAACAGTGATGGTTTAATTCCGAGATATTGTAACATTATAATAGAGAGAGAACAATTAATGTATTCTTGTGAAACTAGTGATTTTTTTCTGCAATGAATTCGTTTTAGGACGACATTGAAAATGTGATAGCCGAAATCGAAAAGGAAGAAGCTCGAAGGCAACGTGTTGTTGAAAAGCCGGTGGAACCACCGTCTCGACGTGTTAATTTTAGTTTAACAGCACATCCTTTTAAAGATGAGCTTATTATGCACGGAGGAGAATTTCATGATGGACGAACGGTATTTTCAGGAATATTCTTTCCATTATTTATACTTTATTGTAGATGTTATAAGTCATCGTAAAATAGTTTGAAGAACAAATGAATATTAAAAAATTTAATTTTCACTTAGACGTTTGTTTATGGAGATATGTTTACGTATAACATAAACAAAAACGAATGGACTGTGATAAGAGCACCTGGGGCTCCACCCCCCCGTTGCGGTCATCAAATGGTAGCGATACCAACGAATAGAGGGGAACTATGGGTATTCGGTGGTGAATTCTCTAGCCCATCGGAATCGCAATTTTATCATTACAAGGACTTATGGGTCTATCGAATTGAAGATAAAAAATGGGAAAAGATTCAGTATGCGCGCCGTTTGTTGATATTAAGTAGAAGCAGTATTTTGTTGTTAATCTAATGAAATTTGAATAGGGCTGTTGGTGGTCCATCTGCTAGAAGCGGTCATAGAATGGTTCATGTAAAAAGACAATTGATAGTTTTTGGCGGCTTTCATGATAATTTGAGGGATTACAAATATTTTAATGATGTGTACTCGTTTCACCTTGAAACATATACTTGGCAAAAGATTGAATTAACTGGTAAGACTGTGGCGCATAGAATCTGTTCTGCGATGGTGAAATTATCAAATTTTAGGTAACCCGCCACTTCCAAGATCTGGCTGTATAGTGTTGCCAACGCCTGAAAATAAATTACTTGTATACGGTGGTTACAGTAAAGACAGAATAAAGAAGGATGTGGATAAAGGACACATTCACGACGACATGTTTTTAATGACCCCTGAAAGTAAATCGATTAATGAAATGATGCTTTATAGATGCATCGAAGATATGTGTTATTACTAATATCATATCTTACTTGTTAGGGAATGATCAAACTGGTTTAAAATGGAAGTGGATGTCTGTAAAACAGGGCGGAGTGAGACCATCGCCTCGTTGTAGTGCGTCAGCTGTTCTCGTTCAATCGAGTTTAGCATATATGTTTGGCGGGGTATTCGATGAAGAAGACAACGAAGAAGAACTTCATGGAAGATTTTATAATGATCTAATGGCATTAGACTTGGAGAAATTACAATGGCACACGGGTAAGTGTAATTTATTACAATATAATCGCGCTTTCTTTTATTATTACGACACGTTGACTAATAATTTTGTAGTTACTTTCAGTGACGTTAACTGGAAAGAAAGACGTAACTGCACGACGTCGCAGAAGAAAAGTGAGAGAAGCTGATGAAGAAGAAAATAATAGCCAAAATGAGGAAGATAGTGATAATGAAGTTGAAAAATCATCGCTTGCCCCGATTCAATCGACAATTACCGACGAAGATGGGATATTCACGATGACAATAGGACCAACTACGAGTGGTCCTGTTATACAGAAGAAAGACAGCGTTTCAGAAAATATGTTTGTGCCATGCCCAAGAATAAATCCGGGTCTTGCTATCAAGCATAATATTTTATACTTGTACGGCGGTATATTTGAGGACGGAGACCATCAGTATACGCTGAACGATTTCTACAGCTTGGGTATGTACATTATAATAATGTATTTAATTTTCTTTGTACGATGCTGATGTAAACTTTAATATACACTGTAACGTGCATTGTTCTTCTAGATTACCGTAAATTAGATGAATGGAGGACAATAATGGCAGATGACGTATCTTCACAAACATGGTATAATTCCAGTAGTTCAAGCTCGGAAGACGAAAGCAGCGATACTAACGATAACGATGAAAACAATCGTGACAATGAACGTATGGACATTGATGAAAATTGATGCAAATATATATTTACTATATTACTATATTATTAAAATCGATTTTCATTGAAATATTATGTTCGGTTTTTTCTTGTTTTATAGTGAAAAGTAATTTGAACGAATTAAGATTTTAAGCTGGCCTTCTTCTGTGACATTTTTTTATCTATATCTTGTGTAATTTTCTCCAGAACCGAGGGATCCTGGAAATAGACGTATGTAAAATATATGAAATATAAGCTTTGCGAAGATCAATTATATGATATAGGACTAAAGTTTACCTGTGCAGTAATAAACAATACACAATGGGAACTTAAGCGATGATATACGCCATTCTTATCTTCTGTGTGATCACTTTTCAAAGACACATAAATATTGAAGATTTTGCTTCCTCCTTTAATAAAGTGTATAATCTCGTTGTAAAATTGAAAATCTTCAGAATCACAAGTTAGAATGTGAACTATGAATAAAAATACTTTTTTAATGTTACTGTAAAATAGTATGTTTCCTTATATACGCGCGTACATAAGTGTGCAACAAATTACCTTCTGGGTTTAATTTTTTACTAATATTAGCTGTTATAGACCTAATTTCTAAAATCATATCTTTAACCTCCTGTATTCTTTTATCGAGTATGTCGTTCTTCCATGTATGAAACTGTGACGACAATAAAAAAAAAAAATGTGATATTGAGATAGTCACAGTGTATCACTGTTTAAAACTGTTCAGTTAGATATACCTGTTCCGGCATTGGATATGGTGCTTCCATTAACGATGGAACTGATAAAAATTCTGGAAATTTATCTGACAACCTAGTATACAATTCATCGGCGAAGAATGGAATGATTGGAGAAATTAGTCGTAACGAAACTTCCAAGCAAGTTCTCAAACTGTAGGTATGACTCAACATAACATTTGAATTTTCGGTTTTGAATCCCCATTTTGTAGCCTCCTAAGTAATGTTGAACAGAATGATGGATTAGAGTTATTCTTTCATTTATACAAAATGATGTTTCTGTTAATATCGGCTTACCAAATAAAAGTCGCAAAATTGATGGTATAAGAACGACCTTAATGATGCGATAGCTGTATGAAAATCTCGTTGTAGGAAGGCATCGTTAGCAGCCTGAACTGTTCTGGATAACTGGCTTAAAATCCAACGATCGATAATTGTTAAGCATTTCGGTTTCTGACATTGTTTTTCGCTTGTTACGAGTATGATATATTTGCTTGCTTGCCAAATTTTATTACAAAAGTGTTTATTTGCTTGACATTCCATCATATCGAAATTGATCTTTTTATCTACAGATCGTTTAGAGAAAAATTATAATACATTGAACGATGTAATATATGATGTATATATGATATATGCATATGTAGAATGTGTACTAACTTTTAACATTGTGACTGCATAACGTCATACGTAGTGCATCCGCACCACATTCTGGTATTCCGTTGGGAAACATCTTTTTATTTCCAGATAGCATACGGTCAAATTCCTTTTTGCTAAGAGTGCCTGAATTATAGTTTTCTTCGATTTGTTCTTTAAGATCCTATTTGCATCAAAATGTTCGGTAAAATGAATCGATACAACTACATAAAAAAAGAAAAAAAACGTTGGCACTTACTTTAACCGTAGCACCGTTAATAATATTTTCTGGCAAAATGATATTTCCAAGTGTTTTGGACATTTTTTTCCCGTGGGCATCGCATAAAATACCATGTAAAAGTACTTCCTATGCATTAACAAAATTTAAATGAAATTTAGTCTTTCATTGTATAATATAAAGGGAGAATATGAATTGCCGTCCAAAAATTTGGAGTATTCTTTTACGATTACAAATTTTATTTTCAACTACAGTTGAGAACAATTTTATTGTTATCTTCAACTCCTCCTTTTCTTTTTTGGTTGAAATTAGAGTATGCGCCAAGCTTTTGAACGGCAATATACAAGTTTATGCGGAGAAAGAAATCTTACGTTGAAAGGTAGACGATCGGTTAATTCCAATCCTAGCATTACCATTCGCGCAACCCAGAAAAATAAAATATCATGTCCGGTTTCCATCAATGTTAACGGATAGTGATTCTTAAGATCCTCTGTCTAAAAATACATTTGCGAGTACGACACATATTACTCTCTGATGTTCTTGTCTATTATCATTTATAATTAAAGAGATATGAAAGATGTTCTCGTTAAACGTAACAATTTGCATGCACGTGCACTTTGTGTATACCTGTTTTGGCCATCCTAATACAGCAAAAGGAAGAATCGCGGAAGAAAACCATGTGTCCAATACATCCTGGTCTTGATGTAATTTCACGTCAGGTCCATACGTATTTCGAGCAATTAGCCGCGCATCATTTTCAGTTCGAGCAATTATCCATTCGGTACGATCTCCAACTGTAACGTAATAAGCAGGAATACGATGACCCCACCATAATTGTCTCGATATGCACCAGTCTCTAAGGCAAGAACATTGCGACGACGAGATTTTAGTACAAGAGAGTACTGTAAATGGTTTTGATGCTTCCTACATAGAATTCTTCCCACCTAATATTTCCAAGCCAGTCGTACCACGATTGTTCGTGTATCGTAGGTACAATGTTTAAATGACCTTTTTCCACTGCATTCATTGCTTTTCGTGCCATGCCCTCGCATCTGACAAACCACTGTTCCTTTAGTACGTATTCTACAATATCTTGAGAACGCGAGCACCTTGGTATGCCCATTTTATGATCGCAAACACGTCTCAGGAGGCCTTTGTTCGATAATTCGTTTAAAACTTTTTCTTTGGCAATGAATCTTGGAGTACCCTAGAACACATTTTATTTTCGTTTTAGTAATAAACAACTATGACATAGTAGTATCGTGTAAATATTGCTCTACCTTGTATTGTTTTCCTGCATCCGTTATCATCCCATGTTCATCGAAAACTTGGATGATGTTTAATCGATGATTTGTAGCAATTGTGTAGTCTGTATGATCGTGTGCCGGTGTTACTTTTACTGCTCCTGAAAATAATTCTTGTTACGACCAGATGTTATGGATATTACCAGTAATGTTGAAAAGTATCTAATAAGCGTAATACGCTTACCAGTGCCGAAATCTCTCTCGACTGATTGATCAGCGATAACGGGTATATAGGTTTCTCTTAAGGAATGCCAAACTGTTTGGCCAATATATTTCGTATACCTTTCGTCGTTTGGATGAACAGCGATAGCTACATCGCCGAAAAGAGATTCGGGTCTGGTTGTTGCCACAACTATTTCATCTTCTACGGGAGCATCGTTTTATCATAAATTTTGATTAGTTTGCGTAGAATAGAAAATATTTGACATATTAAGTATTACTTGAATCTTTAACTGGATAAGCTATATAAGCGATTTCACCGAATGTTACCCTCTTACTGTATCCTGGAACTTGAAGAGCTGTTTTCCCAGTAATAAACGTATGCTCCACTTCGATATCGGATATTGTGCTACATAAACTAGGACACCAGTTAACCAAATCTTTTTTCCTATATATTAAATTATGATCGTTTAATCTTACAAATGATTCGATCACAGCACTGTTATGATCCTGTAATTTTGATTATAGAAAATAATAGAAAACGTGTTCAAGATCAAATACTTGAAATAGATTTCATAAAGATAAACTGTATTACATACCTTGCTCATTGTAAAATATTCTTTAGACCAATCTAAACTGGCTCCCAAAGCTTTTAACTGATTCTTTATTCCACTTTCTTTTTGACCTTTCCAATCCCATACAACCGAAAGAAATTGTTCTTTCCCTATCTCTGACTTTAGGATACTTTTTGTTTTGCAAAGATGCTTTTCTATCATCATTTGCGTTGCTATACCAGCATGATCTAAACCTGGTATCCACAAAGTAGGATGACCTTTCATTCTGTACCTAGGTGTAGGACACTTTGAGTTATATTAAACGAACCAATTGCAATTATAAAAAATTTCACACAAATCATACCATCTTGCCAGTATATCTTGAATTGTAACAGTCAACGCATGTCCCAAATGCAATGTTCCAGTTATATTCGGAGGAGGTAACAACATTCTGAATGCATTATCTTCAGTGGACTTGACGGTGAAGTATTGATTCTTTTCCCAGGTATTATACCAGTCATGTTTAAAGATTTTAGGGTTGAAAGTTGTTGGAAAATCTAAGCATAAAGGTATTACTAGTATAAACAAATTCAACTTTCTAACAATATCACTGCTTTCGAAATATATCATTTCAGATTCATTATTACCTGATAAGAATTGAGTGGAAAATCTGCTACAACAGGGCTTGTAATAAGATTTGTTACGTAGACAACTGTTGAATCGCAGTACATTCATTCTAAATAAAGGAACAGTGCTTAAAAAGTTTGTTTTAATGCGTGTTTACGAAAACAACCAATAATGCTAAAGTACTATGTATTACTCTCTGTTTCATGACATTGAAATTACTTCATATGAGTTATGTAATTTTTTTGCGGAATCATACGAATTATTATGATTGTTAATTTATTTTAAGGTACATATCCTAATACTCCTCAAAATGTAAACGACTTTTGCTAGCTAGCTAGCTAGCTACCTAGCGCCGTAAGTTAAATGCAGTTAAATGTACGTACGTACATACATGCGCTTATGTATATACATACATACACATTGTAATTGATTGTAATACATAATAATAAGTTGTATGCATGAATGTACGGTATTGTATGTACATAGGTTATATTTACTTAGTATGCATGATAGGTATGTATGATATACATGGTATGTATGCACACTACATACTTTTAATAACCACCCCGATTAAATTGGTTGATGTTGATTGGTCCGCTCCAATGGCGGATAATTGTCGGAAATACATACACATGTATACATATATGTACAGTAATGGGATCTACTCCCGCACGCTTTTCTTACTCTCTAAGCTGGCGCGCATATCTCAGCAGTGAATGATCAAAGCGAAACAAATTTCTATATCGACCCTCGTTAACGGATCAAGCTGTGGCTTGGAGGTGTGCAAGACTAGGTTTCATTACTGTATACACGTTTATTTAATTATCATTAATCGAATAAAGTACGTACGTACATACATATGTAGTTGAAATTTAGTAATGTTTCAAGAGTTTCAAGAGACTTTATCACATCTCTCTCTCTCTCTCTCTCTCTTTCTCTATGAATGCAGTATTCCAGAGCTCGGAATTAACTGCACATGGCAGAAACAGAGCATTTTCGAAGACTGCTCTGATAATACTGTGTCTTTGTCCTGTGCAGTTAATTCCGAGCCCTACTCTATGCTCATACTAGCGCGCATCCTCTCTGCACATGAAGCGAGAGTAGACATTCGAATTTTGAATATATATGTAAATACTTTGAATAGGTTTTTAAAAAAATCTAGCCCTTAATCCTTTAGGCTTTTAGGTAATATCGTCGCGATTCGGTTATGTTTTTGTTGTGAGATCATCAGAGGCTACGGAGAGACCAAGCTTAAAAATTTATTAAAAATTATGTTACAGTTATGTATGTACATGTGTTTCGTGGCTAATTACTCGGCAATCAAGATCCTTAAAAGATCTTCCGGGCTCCTCGCAAAGAGTCCGTTCGCATTTTGATATAAATTTTTGGGATCATGGCAGGCCTCGTATAGTTGCTTGTATATGGCGCCGATCACTTCGAAGGATCGTTTCTGTGTAATCACACGATGATTGTTGCTTTGTAGTAAACTTATTTGAGGCAGTAACAATACGTCCGGCATCACTAAGAAAGCTTCGAGTTTGTTCTAAAAAATATCAGAGATTGATAGTATTGTTTACCATTTTCTACTTTCCACTTTTCATTGCGAAGGTAGTAAACGTACCGTAAATTCTTTTACGCTCAGAGAATCCATGCCGAGAATAGACGACAGCGGGCCTTGCTCGTGCCCTTGCAAAATTGTATAGATGGATCCAAGATTTAAATGAGCTACCAAAGAGCTCGCCTGTTCCGATGTAAGAGTATCGATTTGCGCATCAGATTGGGCCTAAAGCAAATGTAATTTGAACACATCAGATTTAACGTAAAATTTCTGTTGAGAATTTCGTTTGAAAGTGAACGTGGGAAAATGACCTGTAATCTTTCCAATCTTTGATCCATGTATTCGTACAATGCTAAGGTAGACTGTATTTGATGCATGCAATTTAATAGATATACAGCCATGTCCACCGTGGGTAATCTTGATGCAGTTTCATTCACTTCTTGGAGAAGTGGATCAATGATACACGATACAATCTGCAATGTAGAGAACATATTAGTTAAGGATCAGAGATAAATATCATTAGCGAGACGAATAGAGTATCGAATGCGTTACAAACTTGTAGCATATCCTTCTCTCTATCTTCTGCGATGCTCGCCACAGATAAAATTTCATTTAGAAGTGCTAACAATCGCGAAACGGATGGAGCTGGTACTAGATCGGTTCCAGGAGGCTCTGCACGTTCGCCAAGTGCGATTCGCGTCTCCTTTTGCAATCTACTAAGAAAGCTCTTTTCGCTGAGTACCAATAGATCTGATAACGTGAAGTTCAGGGTGCTATCGGGAATCGCTTGCTGAATTATGTCACGGTAAAATCTGAGAAGCGTTGTCACCGAATATAACACCGTGGCTGGCGCGTCCACGGAAACAACATGTTCTATTCTTGACTTGAACGGATGGCAAATACCCTCCGTAATATTACTCAAACATTGTTTAACTTGATCGGATATGTCTGGAAAAAAGCCTTAGATAAGAAACTCGAAACGGAAGGCAGAAAAGAATCGTTTAAAACTTTTACCAGTTTTATCGCATCCCTTCATCAGAGTTAAAATGTTCTCTCTTTCAACTGGTATAACCTGATGTAACCAAGCAAGCATGTCACCGACATATCTCTTTGGATCGTTTGCATGCATTTCAATGGGATTAGGTGTTCCACCGTATCCCTCCCCCAATGTCAACGCATCTATGAAAGATCCTACCAATGCAGTTCTTCTGGTCGAACAATATTCGTCTAAGATATATCTAAAAGCACAAATATTGGACGATTCATCGATATACAACATGGAATATGTAATATCCGATATACGATATAGAATACGTATTACAGCCTATATATATATATATATATATATATATATATATANTGGATCCAAGATTTAAATGAGCTACCAAAGAGCTCGCCTGTTCCGATGTAAGAGTATCGATTTGCGCATCAGATTGGGCCTAAAGCAAATGTAATTTGAACACATCAGATTTAACGTAAAATTTCTGTTGAGAATTTCGTTTGAAAGTGAACGTGGGAAAATGACCTGTAATCTTTCCAATCTTTGATCCATGTATTCGTACAATGCTAAGGTAGACTGTATTTGATGCATGCAATTTAATAGATATACAGCCATGTCCACCGTGGGTAATCTTGATGCAGTTTCATTCACTTCTTGGAGAAGTGGATCAATGATACACGATACAATCTGCAATGTAGAGAACATATTAGTTAAGGATCAGAGATAAATATCATTAGCGAGACGAATAGAGTATCGAATGCGTTACAAACTTGTAGCATATCCTTCTCTCTATCTTCTGCGATGCTCGCCACAGATAAAATTTCATTTAGAAGTGCTAACAATCGCGAAACGGATGGAGCTGGTACTAGATCGGTTCCAGGAGGCTCTGCACGTTCGCCAAGTGCGATTCGCGTCTCCTTTTGCAATCTACTAAGAAAGCTCTTTTCGCTGAGTACCAATAGATCTGATAACGTGAAGTTCAGGGTGCTATCGGGAATCGCTTGCTGAATTATGTCACGGTAAAATCTGAGAAGCGTTGTCACCGAATATAACACCGTGGCTGGCGCGTCCACGGAAACAACATGTTCTATTCTTGACTTGAACGGATGGCAAATACCCTCCGTAATATTACTCAAACATTGTTTAACTTGATCGGATATGTCTGGAAAAAAGCCTTAGATAAGAAACTCGAAACGGAAGGCAGAAAAGAATCGTTTAAAACTTTTACCAGTTTTATCGCATCCCTTCATCAGAGTTAAAATGTTCTCTCTTTCAACTGGTATAACCTGATGTAACCAAGCAAGCATGTCACCGACATATCTCTTTGGATCGTTTGCATGCATTTCAATGGGATTAGGTGTTCCACCGTATCCCTCCCCCAATGTCAACGCATCTATGAAAGATCCTACCAATGCAGTTCTTCTGGTCGAACAATATTCGTCTAAGATATATCTAAAAGCACAAATATTGGACGATTCATCGATATACAACATGGAATATGTAATATCCGATATACGATATAGAATACGTATTACAGCCTATATATATATATATATATATATATATATATATACATATCGCTAAAGCCAAGCGCGCATACTTAAACAAAACTGGTCTGTCTTGGAGTTTATTCATTGCTTTAATTAATAGCGGTGCCAGACGTTCGTTTTCAATATTTTTGCATTGATTCTGCGTCCATCTGTATAATCTTTCGAGGGCCGACTCTTGCAATAGTGTCATTCTTTGCATAATGTCTAAACCTAACGTTTGATATCCTGACTGCATTAATATCCTACAGTTGCTATGAATCTCCTGTAATCGTAACAATGTATTCGTAAGTTCTTACGATATCTGCGGACGTATTAATTCGTAGAAGTATACCTGAACACGATCGACCACGGAGAAAAATTCTTCGGTTATAGGAGAGTCTCTACCGGATCCGTGTAGCATACCTAATTCGGATTGAATTAATTGAAAATTTTTAGCAAACGCGGTAGCAACTTGGTGTTGCATGGACAAAGTTTGGCTGAAAACGTTATTATAATAATTCAGGATGCTACACGTAAAGATTCGTGTTGCAAAGATGATTTTATCTACGAATAGAATCTACCTTTTACTTTGCAGTTTGGTTGTTTGATCGATGAGTTGCGATGTTTGGGTTTTAGTGCTTTGTAAACGGTTTGTCATACACTGTACAGCCGTGTTCATGGCTAGAACGTCTCGATAGACGTCATCCAAGGAAGATTTGACTTCTCTAAAGGCAGACAGAAATTCTTCGTTTATAGCCAAGCTTCGTCTTTCTATCTTGCTTCGTAAATTTCGGCGTGCATTCAACGTATTCTCCGTGAAGAACGTGGACAATTCTTTTAAAGCTTCGAGCGTATCCTAAGAATCGATTAATATTTAAAGCGAAGATGATAATGATTTGATCGATCTCGTTTATTAAATAACCATTAATAAATTGGAAAAACTGCGGAAATACCTTGTCGTGTTCGACCCTGGATTCGAGTAATTTATTTACTCGTCGAACCAAAGCAGTATTAGTATTTTTTTCACTCATTTTAAGTAGTCGGATTTTTTTCTGTCAAATTTATTCGAAAATATACATAACCTATGTACGAGACAGTGACAGTGGTCACAGTGACGTAGGAACGATTGGCAACAACAGCCAACAGCGTGGCTGACGCCGACACGTAGCGACTGGTGGCGACGTAGAGGCGTAGCGAACGTGGACGCAGCGACGCGATCGATCGATCGATCGATATCGATATCGATGATCGATGATCAACATCGACAGAAAAATCATGTACAAAGATTACATGGTTGTTCGCTTCTCTGCAACAATCGTACAACCATATATGTATAACGACTGAAATTGTATGTATGTATGTACTATGTTGATGTGTTTGTACATATATATGTAGATACGTAGATAGGACTAAAAATCTACAAAAGCTATTCTCGCAACGATATCTGTGGTAGAATCAAGAATCATCAATGCCTCGAACTGCATCCAACTGGTCCCAAGTCCCAACTGCACCAGCAAGTCAGCAATGGCCAATGGCCAGCAAGCAGCACCAGCAGTGTCACCAATGTATCAACCAGCGAACCACCACCGACCAGCACCGGCACCGGCACCAATAGCAACAACAACAACAACAACAACAACGTAACCAACAATAACCGGCAACACACCGCTGCTACTGTTTCTACATTATTTACATTTGTGTGTATACAGTATACATAATTCACAAGTTGCATAGGTGTATAATGTACAATATGTACATACAAGCCCTTTGGTATACATATAGAAGTCTGTGATTAGCACGCAGTGTGCAGTGAAAGAAAACAGAGTGCGGTCGCGGTTAAGGACAGGTACGCCGATTCTTATCGTTTAAATTCACCCGATTTCTTTTTTTCCAGAAGAATCGCGAGGATATTTCTTCGGCATCTTTGTGCATTAAGCCTCAAGTCGTACGGCGACCGCCGACATTATACATGTTCGTTTACTCACGCGCGCGGTTGTATGTCATACGATGATATCAGATAATACGGTGAGCCACACGGTAAACCCAGGCAAACCATAGATCTAAAGGATGAAGCCTAGTTGCAGTGGGTCGAGGCAAACGACGGAAGGGGACATGGATCGTCGTCGGTCGTATCGATAGGCAAAATAGCTGGTGCACTGTGCACTCTACAGGTTTAGTTTAGATTAGTTTTTTTTATGCCCTAATCAATGTTTTTGCCAAAATAAAAATTTGTAGGCGATGCTGCATTTTGCACCGCACTGGGCAGATGCCGGCGACTGTGGCGCCTCTCGTAGGGAATAACCGGAGCTTCGTCCGATGTACGCATAGCAGCAATCGGTGTACCGGCAGAACGCTCGAACTACTATGTAGCCAAATCGATTTTGCAACAGTCGATTTTGGCTAAAGTTTGAACGATTTGCCGCTACTTAGATCGGCGCTGTGCGAACATAAAACGGAGTTTCGTTTTTTCTCGAAAAGAGGCGAGCGCGAACAAAGTCCAGTTCCGCTTATCGGGGCTCGGCCGTCTCGCGTCAGCCGATCTCGTCTCTGATTGGTCGCTGTTTTTCGTTAACGATTCGTTAATGATTCGTAAACAAAGCAGCGGATTGCATTTGCGCCGAGGATAAAATTACTTGAAACGACCCCAGGAATCCTTTGTTTCTCGATCGCGAGTGACTTTTGTATATTCTCGTATAACCCTGTATATATTTTTGCCCGGTCGGAGGAATGGGCGCCCCGTTTGTCTTTCGTTTGTCGCATTATGCGTAATACATCTGTACGTATGCGTTTGCATTGTACATACGCAAGTACATATGTAATCCAGAGTCGTATTCAATAGTTTATTCGTATCGCGAGAATATTTTTACAAACGTTTCTATTCCCCTTGTAGCCCGTAGGTATGTACACGTATGTATGTATTTTGAAAATTGCTTGCTCGTCGGAACGGAAGAAATAACCTTGATCACGGATAACAAAGAAGACGGGGGTATTGTACGTAGAATAAGGCAGAGTTTGTTATCATCGTTATGTATATGTACGTATGCGTGTACACTGCTCGTACGCGTAACAAGCATTTACGACGATCCTTCTTATCGATGAAACGCGTATCGGTGCCCGAGCAACGTCGCTGCGGCGTCGATTCATCGTCTGTCGGAATATCCCGGAGTGTATCTCGTTGTTAACCGATTTTCGCAGAATTCGTATTCGTCGTTGATCGTTTAGTAGTTGGATCGCGAGTGGGTACAACTGGAAGGTCGCCAACAATCTTGTCGGCAACTGTGCGATGCCCATCGGGAGCTCGACGACTTTCTTTTAAGTATGGATCTCGGAGGATTCGATTCCATTGGATCGCGTAATGTAAAGTAATTTTTTAAACGAGAGAACGAACAGAGTCTCGACAAAGCCTGGTAGAACCCGTAAACCGATTGTCGTTCGACCGCGAACTCGCGGAGCATCGAATCGCATTTAGTGCGCAACAGCTGTGCCAGTTGCGTCTGCGATCTGCAATTCGATATTCGTCGCGTGCGAGGAACAGAAACTGAAACGGAAACGGAAATAGAAGCGAAAAGACGCGCGCGCGCGCGGTCGTTTGCATTCGAGAAGTCTCGTTGAGAACGAAGCGTGCACCGTTGAGAGACCGTTTTCATCGTAGCTTTACGTTCGAGCAGGCCGATACCGCGGCTTATTGCACCGATGAAAATATTTAACCACGACATCATCTCGAGTTGAACACGATTCACCGACTCGGTCGTTATCGTGGCGCAACGTTATCGTTTCCCTCGGTTGTGCACGCGTTTGTGCATTGTGCACGCGCGAACAGGTGCTTGGATGTGTACGCGCGACGTACGACGCATGCATGCGTGTACGTGTACGTCTCGAAGTTCGAGGAAGCAACGTTCGACGACGAACGATCGTTTCGCTCGAAGTATTCTAGATATTTGTTTCGGATCGTCTTAAAATAAAAGCTGGAAAATCTTCTCTTACGCTTGAAACGATACGAAAGCTGCGGGTGCTCGCTGTTTCACGGGGCGTTAACGTCGTTCGCGACTTTCGTTCGAAGGTATTATCGCTGAAAAGAAATTGCGCGTCGAATCACGACTTTGTCGGAAAATCGAAACGTCGCGTTGTTGGCCATTTTGTAGCCGAAACGGAACATCTTGTTAAAGACTACGAAAGCGAAACCGTAAGATCGATCGTGCATCCGTTTGTAAATCACGGCTCGTTCCGACAAGTCGATGATAAGGGAGACTACGGAGAATACAAGATTCTTCGATACGGTATCGAATAAATTGAAAATCGTGATATTCGAGTATCGTCGAAGTCCGGCGTTGGTTTTCAAGTCGGTACAATTTGCTTCGCAGGGGCAACGGACTCCGCTATGAAAAAGGGCGATGCGGATGCGGAATCGGAAGAAACGGTTCCCGTTTTACAACCCAATGGGAAGTTGGAGGATAGAATGAGCACCTTGGCTGCTCGTTTCTCGAAGAAGTACGACGTTTCGCCTTCGTTCTTCGTCAGAGTTCCTGGAAGGTATCGGCGAAAAGAAGAAGTATAAAATTCGCTTAACGCGTCCGGTTCTCTTTCTTCCTTTTAGCAGTCGATGTTCCGTCCATTTGTACACGATATTCTTTTGTAAAATGCGTCGTATCGTATATAGTGTCGAAACTAAACGGACAAAACTACCGGCAAGATCTTTCTCGGGTAAGCATTTCAGCTAAGAACGTGTACGTAGAATGCGAACGATATTCAAATATTTTGCCAATACATATTTCGCTATCGTTTGCCCCGGTATCGACCGCATCGATCTCTCACCCCGCTCCCTCTTCCCAGGGAGCAATCGAATTTATTTTGCTCGTCTGTTCGTAGAGTGAATTTAATCGGCGAGCACATCGATTATTGCGGTTACGCTGTTTGTCCCATGGCCATTGAACAAGACATCCTCGTTGCCGTTGCTGTCTCGCGAGACGATCGAATCCGACTAACCAATATGGAATCGAAGTACAAGGATTTTCAGTGCAACTTGAAAGACGTGAGGCAAGTATCGCGAAACCGAACGATCTCTGCACAGTCTCGTCGTCCTAATCGTCTTCGCTTTCGTCGTTGTATCATTTACCTTCGATCCCGGTCGAAGACGTATTACCGTCGATAATCGGGGAGTATGGGAATCCTGATCGCGCATTTTCGTTCTCGGTGTTCGACCGCGAACGGCCGGACGAAACGAGCCTCGAAGTTAATTCACAATTCCCGGCCGGAACATCGGAATGCAATTTCCGTCTGCATCGGGGTAGGCGTCGGCGAGAAATGTCCGAGATGGTCGTCGCGGTTGAAGCAGCCTCTTAAATTAATCCTTGTTCGTTGATCGCGATTCGCGATGTAACGTGGGCGAGAGATCAGATTTTTCAAGCGACGAGAAACGCGATGACGCACGACTCGCGACGCATGACGCACGACGCGCGACGCATGATCCGCAACGAGCTCGCGAATTTTCCACGGAACTCTTTTTGTAGTCGAATCTTGGGCAAACCGTTCGCCCTTCGCCCTTGTAACGAGAACGAATTAGTTTTTCCGAGAACGTTGAAAAGGGTACACCGACAGCGAGCGATGTAGAATCGATTTAAATATTTATTTTCCTATGAGAGAGAGAGAGAGAGAGAGAGAGAGAGAGAGAGAGAGAGAGAGAGAGAGAGAACATCGACAACAACGTTCTGTAAGCGTGTGAACTATTCGAAATCGAGTTTTATTTGGACTCTCGATGATTTTGACGCGGAACGATTTGTATAGCGTAGACGTGGATGAAAACTGTTGTTGGTAGAAACGGGAATGCAAAGGGTAGATACATGTATACGTTCCATCGATTTTTACGAGTTAGCTCTGGTTTTACGCTGCGAGGTATACACGCGACTATGGTGCTCGGAAATGTCGCGTCGTAAAGGGCATTCTCCGAAGAACGTTCCTCGAGTATGTTTAAAACGTTTACCTCGTCTGTAACGAACGACGCTAAAACACAGGCTCTGGCTTTTCGTTCTGCCGCGCGCGCTCGAACACGGTCGGGTCGCGCGGTCGGGTACACTCGGATACGAACGAGACCGTTCGTTTTGCATTGCTCGATCTTCGATCGAACGTGGTACCGTTACAAACCGGTGATCGGCCGTATTCACGACTTCGTTGTACGGTTAATAATTCTCGATTGCCACCGCATCTCCATAAAATTGTAAAAAATGTTTTGCCACCGAGAGTCGTTCTGCTTTTTTAAATCGATTTACCTCAACGACTGCTTTTTACAATGAATTACACAGCGATCGCGAGTAGTCGAGATCGCGAGAATTCGAAATAATTGCAAATAATTCGATATAATTGAGAGAAAATTGTTTAATCTTACTATTTCGATTTCGAAGAAATGTACGTTACCTCGATATTGGCGCTATTCCGGAGCACTGTTCTACCAAAACGAAGGATTTCGTATCGGATTTCTTCGGATTTGTCGGATTTGTCAGATTTTTCAAGTTACAACGATTTCCCTCGTAAAGATGCTTCGTTAAAAATTGCAAAATCGAACGATGCCGCGGGTGCGCGTTGAAGGAAAATTCGAGAAATACGCGGAAAGACGTGGACGCGTCGTTCCGATGTTCGACGGGTAGACTGATCGTAGACCAGCGATCGGCGATCGATCGAGCGGAAATCCGGACCTGTAAAATAGCGAAGCGAGAGCGGAAGCGACCGGAGGTGACCGAAATTCATAATTTTTTACAGCGCCTGCATCGAGGATGCCGGCGGTGGCCCGGACTGGTACAAATATTTCCTCTGCGGTGTGAAGGGTGCCCTCGAGGTGATGCCGGAGGAGGTCGTTCCTTCGGGAATGTTGGCTGCAGTTTGGGGAAACGTTCCTCCTAATTCGGGGCTCTCGAGCTCGAGCGCACTCGTCTCCGCCGCTGTTCTTCTGACCGTGCACGCCAATCAGGTGAGCATCCGCGATCGCGATCGTAACCGCCGTCTTTTTCGCGCGCCTCGACCTCGGTGCAACGTCGACCTCGACCATTATCTTTGATTACGAAAGGATTCCAGCCACCTAGATTTTTCATTTCGGCGTTAGAGAAACGTTCGTCTAGTTCGGTGAGAAGATGAGAAGTATTCGGTCGACTAAACGTTTATGTACTCGTCGTTTCAACTATTTATCGTTTCGCGTGAAAAATGCTTCGATCAATCTCGGAAAGAGCATCGAATTTCAAATCGAATCTGTGCCGAATTATTTGAAGCGGCGGTAGATGCGAAATGTGAACAGATTTACCAACGACTCGCAACGATTCTCGAGACTCTTTAACGCGAAGTTGAGTACGAGCGCGACGAGACTCGAATAACCTCGTGGTGGTGTACTTGACCGGCCACTCGCCACTCGCTACGGAAGTGTTTCCAAGCTGTTGGAAATTCTCGCTTAACTGGAAATCGCTTCGTCTAGACTAGCGCGTAGATTGTCCGTATTTCTATATTACGCGTATCGTTGTCTCCTGATTTTTGGCGATCCGTTCCTCGATCGATGTATACTTAGCAAACGTATGTATTCGCTTTGCACGATACCCGTTGTTTTCAAAAATAGTACGTAGGCCCATTGCGGTCATGGATCGAAATTGCAACTAGCCAACGAGTCGAAATAGAATCCGACCGACCCGATGCGAAGTACGAATTAAAAAGAAAACGATCGAAACCAATTCGATCTCGCGTAGCATCGTAGACAGAAAACTGCGCACCGTAGTACCGTACGCGCGCGCGCGTGTTTCTCTCGCGACAACGAAGCGTCGCGCGTGATGCGCGATAAAAGCGCGATCAGCGTGCAACGATAAAACGGGTTAACGGAACACCGCCGTTTCGGTCGGTGCGAACCGTGAACGGAAAACGTTCCGGCAGCGAGAAAAAGCGAAACGAAAAAGCTTCGAAACGCGATCGTTCCAGCGTGAAATGGCAATCGAGCCGCGCGCGATACCTGTGCTAAAATAGTTACACGATTTACGGGCCCGGAAGAGAAAACTGTATCGTACGATAACCGTTGATCGGCTTACAGCCTGCAGCCAATAAATCGATCGCGATCGTCTCCCATTCTCTCATTTGCTAAAAAATTTCGGAGCGATCCCCGCCGGGGGATCGATCCGTGGCTTTCGGAAGGTTTTGGGCCGTCATCGACGCGCGGTTTATCGGCCTCCGAAGAGAAACATGTTTTCCACGTTTATCGGGCTTTACCAAAAGTTCGCCGGCGATAAAAGATCCGTTTAACTTTGCCTCGAGAAGAATTACACCGAAACAGGCGAAACATCGATCGAGGAGGGTGAGAAAAATGGTCCGTCGCATCCCCGAATCGCAACTATTACGATTCTTACAAATCGTAATTACGAAATCTCGCCGGTTTCGTTGTCGGCACGATGAATAATTATGTAATTGTTTCTAATCTCTTGGATCTTGTTTTTCATCGAGCGTGGTGAATTCCAATACGTGCGGTTTGGTAACAAATTTTATTACGAATTAGACGAAACGGAGGACGGGGGAGAAGAGAGAGAGAGAGAGAGAGAGAGAGAGAGAGAGAGAGAGAGAACGCATCGTAGATACATAGTTCGAGTTTCGATGTAGTTTGCGTAAACGGCCCTATCGAGCCGGTTAAAAAGTTTTTTAATACCCTCGCAGGGTGGACTCGACGATAGCTACCTTGGGCATGCTGTTTACGGCCTTTGGAAAAGTTGTTGTAGCATTTGCGAGACGATTCCGGAGGCTGCGGAATAATTGACCGGCTTTGCGAACCGATCTTTGCAAAGAATTGTTACGAGAAGATCATAGTGTAGAACCTAGGAAAGCGTTTCTCCGCGATCGGACCGGGTCCGCAGCGATTCCATCCTGCGCGTCTCCGCGGCACCTAAAAATCGAAAGAAACGACATTTTCGAACGGTTCTTCGAATGTTGGCTAAACGATCGAAAGAAACGTGAATTTTTGTTGCAGCATGGAAAGCGACCGTCGAAGCGCGATCTGGCCGACATCGGTGCCAGGGCCGAGAGGCACATAGGCACTCAGGGCGGTGGAATGGATCAGGCGATCGCGTTTCTCGGCAAAGCTGGTAAATCGATGGTTTTCGAAAATTCTTCCGTAACGTTGCGCGATTCGTCTCGAACGATGAAATCGCTCGGGAAAATGTGATCGATCGAACGAGTTCGGCTGCTACGAGTACACGGGGTTCGTTCGAGTCGAGATCGTTGAAATTGAAACGCTCGCGTCTCTCGTATGCCGGTAGGTTCGGCGATGCTGATCGAATTCCACCCGCTGCGTGCAACGAACGTCGCTCTACCCGAAACCGCGGTGTTCGTGATAGCGCACAGTCAGGCTTGTCACAACAAGGCTGCCACCACGGATTACAATTTAAGGGTTGCGGAGTGCAGGCTCGCCGCCCAGGTAATCCACGCTCCATTTTACAACGATCGAATCGAATCGGAAGAATCGGAAAAATTTGAAAAGTTGGAAAAATTGGAAAAAATTGGAAAAATCGGAAAGATCGATAAGAATCTCGAAAATGAACAATTTCGGAAGAGCGGATATTTTATTGTTCGAGTCCCGCGGTTCGTTTTTTTTATAGTAGCCGTTGACGATCGGCGAGTATAAAAATGAACCGCGAGGCTCGAACGATCGTATCTTCTCTTCCCATATTGTCCTTTTTCGAAGGAAAATTTTGGAGAATTTGCTTCACCGTTTTCGATGGAATGGGGCTCGGTCCTTCGGTCGATTCGAACTCTCGAAAGTTTTTAGCTAACTGGAGGAGGAACGACTGCGCTCGAACGTAATTGAAAGTAATGGCAGCAAAACTTTGGCGAGGAAGTTTGGTCTCGCGAAAAGATTCGTCGTTAACAATTCATAATCGAAGGAATTTATTATTCCGATGTTTCCGTTTCGATCCGATTCGATCCGTTTCCAATGGTGTTTATACGCATCGTATATATGTATATGTATATATATTCCATTAGGATCGTTTTTCAGAGAAAATTCTATCGATAGATAGATAGTAGTATAAAGATGGTAGCTAAAAGTCGATTATAATATTATCGATAACGACAGGCTCCACCAAACGCGTTTCTTTCGTTCCTAGATGATAGCGAAGAAAAGAAGGAAGAACTGGGAGCAGGTGCAAAAATTGATCGATGTCCAAGAGGCCCTCGGTATCAGCGTCGACGAAATGGTGGCTGTGGTAACCGCGAACCTCCGCGAGGAACCGTACACTCTTAACGAGGTACGTGCTTGACGCTCGTCATCGATAATAACGATAACCGTAACAACAACAACAACAACAACAACAACAACAACAACAACAACAACAACAACAATTATTAATAATGATAATAACGGAAACGTTGGTATCGGGACGCGTACTCTTTCCTCGGTCTCGCGTCATCGTAGCGAAGAAAAGAACTCTCTGTCGTTGCTCGTCGGGAATTACCCGAAACTACGATACGAGTTCTTATTCGTGGATACGCGATACGCTTCTATCGAAAATCCGAACGAGTTTCCGGAACGACATTTTCTTTCATAATTTTTCGAGAATGCGATCAAAACGATTCGACCTTCGCGATCGGAGGTTCAACGCGAACGTTATTTTTGACGAAGCTCGGGACAAAATTGCGAAGTCTGGAAGAAACGATAGAGAGTCTAGGAAAAAATGCGTTTGGAACGAACAAAAATAATCGTATTATCCTCGATAAAAGATCGACTCGTTGAACCGTCATCGATCGGATAAGAGGTGCTCGGTTGTTTGTTTAGATCTGCGAAGAGCTGGGCACAACGATCCCGAAGATGAAGGAAATCTCGCGTCTAGGATCGTTCGACGAGTCGCAGCCGTTCAAGCTGAAACAACGGGCTCTGCACGTGTTTCAAGGTAATAGAATGTACGCGCGTATTCGGTAAACGTTGACCGACGACGATACGAAGAAAGAAAGAATTTCAACGGGTTCGACTAGAAATTATAGACCGTAACGAATCGACGAACGACGCTCGTTGCTCGATATTTTCTGGCTCCCCGTCGACCTCGACGCGTACTCTTTGGCAAAGATTTACACAAAGGTTTCGACGGTCTTTTGAATTTTTCTTTTTTTTTGATTCGGCGTTCTTTCCAAAGCATCTTTTCGATCGTAACGTTTAAACGAATAAAAATCGCGTTATGTTCGAAAGAATGCTATCTTTTTGTCGCGGTGCGCGCGAGCGACGAGGCAGTCCCTACGTTTTTCTCCCAGCCCTACTCTCCGCGTACCACGCTGCCGGTTTGCTCGGAACACGATCCTGGCACTCGTAACGATCGCATCGAACGCATCGATCGCGCCTTACGATCGTTTCGTTATCGATGGGGCGATAATGGAATTATCGCTCTCGTTTTACAGCTTTGTAGAATCGTGACGACGATCGTGATCCCATTTTGAACAGTTGCAGGCTGATGATTCTCTGCAACGATCGACGCGCGACACGAAATTGTCGACGAGCCGGTCGATAACTGTAACGCGTAAGTCTGTTTCCTCTTGATTCTCAATTTACCGGTTCAAGATCGAGCATTCCGTACCCTATACCATTATACTGTACGCTGTACACCGTAGATCGTATACCGTATACCGTATACCAACACGCTTTGGGGATTTAAGTAAACTTTAAAAAAAGTTTGGTCGAGTCGGCTGCGATTCGGATACATATGTACCCGTTCGAAATATCACTTTTATCTTCGAGATAAAGATAAAAGAAAGGTTGAACGATGGATGCTTCGACGGCATGTTCCGGCGATTGCTTTTTTCAGAGGCGAGTCGAGTGGCAGCGTTCCGGCGCGTGTGCGAGGACAACGCGACCATGGAAAAAGAGAAGCTGGCACAGCTGGGTGTTCTGATGTCCGAAAGTCACGTCAGTCTGCAGAAATTGTACGAGTGCAGTCATCCCAGCGTCGACGCGCTCGTCGAGGATGCGACGAGCTGTGGCGCGCTCGGTGCTAGACTGACAGGTGCCGGGTAAGTTCGAGAAATCGAGTCGCATCTTTTTTTCGTATCTAGAATTTAGAAATTCTTCCTAGCTTACCGAGCATGCTCGACGAGCGTTATTCGTTCGTGGCACGATCTTTAGTTGTTGCGATCGTACGGTTCACGGATCTCTCTCCCCCTCTCACTTTCACTCTCTCTCTCTCTCTCTCTCTCTCTCTCTCTCTCCTCTCTTTCCCTCTTTCTCTCTTTCTTTGGCGATCGCCGTCATGGGGAAAATCGACTCGACGAGTTTGAGTTGGCTCGAGAGAAGATTGCGAAGCACCGATCGGACCGGTTCATTGCCTCCCACTGCCAACTGCCATCATTTTATCGTCGAGAAAGTACTCGAACCGCGTTCCCATAAATGTCCAAATGCTTTCAAATTTTCGACTTTTAGAGCTTTACATTTTTCAGAATCGCGAACGCGCGTCGCATGGGAAATCAATCGCGAGCAATGGCGCGAATGGATACAGACGTGTTCGCGTATTTGCATATTTGGATATTTGCATATTTACGCATAAGCATGCGCGTAACTATGCATAGTTTGCGCGTTCGCGACGCACCTGAGGGATTTCGTTTGATGCAGGTGGGGCGGGTGCATAGTGGCCGTCACGAGCAAAGACGAGGTTTCGCGATTCGTGTACGCCCTGAAGAAGCGACTCGCCGGAGTCGGGATCAAAGATGGATTCGACCTCGACGACCTGGTCTTTCCAGTGGAGCCATACCAGGGAGCCGCAATTTACACGATCTAGTCCCATCGTCGATCGAGGCCGCGCGATGAGAGCGCTTTCCAAGGTCCGATCGAGTCGTTTAAAAGAGACCGGTCGCGACATTTTCGGGTCCGAGCGATCAAAGGCTACGACGATTCCAACGAGCGACGGCTCGTGGCTCGGGAAATACCGGAGCCGACGACGAACTACGCCAGTGGTTTTCGTATCGTATCTAGGTGTTTTACGACAAGGAGTTTCGGATTTCGGAGTAGCCCAACGTTTTATCGAGAAATTGGTTGGCTCAAAATTCGGTGGACACGAAGAAGGCGTTCTTCGACCTGACATTTGCGGCAGTGGTTTGTTACGCTTCTACGAATTCGTCGATTCCTTCGTAATCACTTCGCTATGGTGTACACGCACGTATGTAAAAATAAAGACCCACTTTATCGAGGATACGTTCTTTGCGCCCAGTTCAAATTCGAACAACTCTGTCCATATGGAACCGCGGAAAATGAAAAACGCGGGTTGGTCGATCGGTTGGTCGATCCGTCCAACGTACCAAAACGCGGCGATAGAATAATCTCTACGAATCGTACGGGATCGATTTACGAGTGGGAACGTAAAACGAATCCGACGGGAAGCGAGAGTCCGATCCTCCCCTCCGGTCCGAATCGTCCCCTATGATCGCGCCAAAACGAAACGGAACGGAACGGAACGCTTTTTGCATCGGGTCGGCTCGCCGATCGAGGAGCATCGACGAAAGACGAAGGAGCTGCGCGGCGAACACAAGCGACTGCGACACAGCCTCGGAAGTTTGTTCAGCCCGGATTCGAGAGGATAAGCGGGATACCGCTTCCCGAAGAAAATGGCCGGCGCGAAGGTATTTTCATCCAAGTTTCCATCGCGTCGCGTTTGCCACGAACGAGTAAAATCTGCCCTCCGATCGCTGTCGACGGTGCCGACCCACCGATCGCGCGGCGATTCGAAGGTCTATGCGCGACGTGGCAAGCGTTACGGCGTATAATAGACGCGCGGCTCTGTTTTCGCGAGCGAAGAACCGATCGACGTAAACGCGAAACTGCAGGATGTTCGACCTCTTTGTCACGCTTTTAAAAACATTCGAACGCGCGTCGCTTTCGATCGGTCGCGCGGAGTCGAATCGAAAACGTTCTCCCGAATTTGTTCTCTCGTCGAGAGCGAGTCGGGTATAAAGCGGCGAACGTATAAAGTTTCGTATTTATTTTTCGTACGCAACGAAATGATACGAAAAGCGCTATCGTAGCAGGTATCGTTTCGAGCCAACCGATATTTCGATTCCATCGACGCGCGGTCGTTTCGTGTTGCAAGGACGAGAACGGCTTCGGGATCTTTGCGCGAAGCGAATTCTCAGGATTCGACGTTTCGATCGAATTTATCGCGATTTCCGCGAGTTCGATTTTGCTTCCCGCGAACGGCAATCGATGCCCGATTATCGAGGACGCGACGCGAAGCGAAATCGTGAAATTGCGAAACCGCAAAGGCACCTGCCACGCCTGACACTCCCGGCACGCCCGTGTGCGACGCCGGGAACGCGGTCCTAAAGTCCGACGGAGATATTGATTTTCCGGGGTCGTCCGTATCGATGAAGCTTTCGAGGAGAAATCGGTGCGCGATTCGGCGAAAATTCGATCGAAGAAAGACGTCTTCTTCGAGGCGATCGAACGCTCTGGCCTCCCCCGATCGCGAACGAGCTTTCCGGCTCGACGAATTTACAGGGTCGTCCGTTTTATCATCCACCCTTCTTAAGCTGGCTTATTATTATTATTATTATTATTATTATTATTACTATTATTATTACTATTATTATTATTATTATCATCGTTANAAGTCCGACGGAGATATTGATTTTCCGGGGTCGTCCGTATCGATGAAGCTTTCGAGGAGAAATCGGTGCGCGATTCGGCGAAAATTCGATCGAAGAAAGACGTCTTCTTCGAGGCGATCGAACGCTCTGGCCTCCCCCGATCGCGAACGAGCTTTCCGGCTCGACGAATTTACAGGGTCGTCCGTTTTATCATCCACCCTTCTTAAGCTGGCTTATTATTATTATTATTATTATTATTATTATTACTATTATTATTACTATTATTATTATTATTATCATCGTTACCATCGTTGTTGCTATTATTATTACTATTATCGTTATTCGCGACGCGAACCTCGACTCGAAGCGAACGTCGTCTCGAAACCGCGCCGTCGAGCGCGTTCCAATCGAAATCCGTAAAATTAAACGAAAGCGCGTTCTCGAAAGTTCTCGCGAATTGCCGCGCATAGAACGATGATTTTCAAAGGAGAAGCTTGCCGTTCCTCCCCGTTTTACCGGAACGCGAAGCGGCTAATGGAAAGGAAGAACGATTAAAAAGTTCTAGAGAAGACGAGGGCGTGGCTCGCGGCGCGGACGAATAATAATCTCTTCGTAGCCTTCATCGTCCGTCCGACGACTCGACGATCCGCCGAGCTCGCCATTTTGGAACTTTTCGAGCATTTCTCAAGCCGCGAAAAGTCCGATAACTTCGCCTCGATGTAACGCGCGAAACAAAGACCGAGTGTTGTATCTCTGCCAATTTTTCCAGTCGGCCTACGAATCGCCGACGATTCGTCGGACCGTCGAGCAAAGAAGCCAGCAGTCTTCGAACCGATGCGTCGCGACGTTTCCTCTCGTTTCTCTTTGCTGTTGTCTTTGAACCGTCCGCGTCCGACCGTCGCGCGTCTCGCGTCGCTCGTCGCGTCGCTCGTCGCGTCGCTCGTCGCGTCGCTCGTCGCGTCGCCGCAATTTACAGCGCATCCTCGTGCCCGTGCAGCGGGAAAGGAAAACAGCTATAATACTCTAAATACTCTGGATCTCGGTAGACGCGAATCCTCGTTCTCTCGAGCTTCGATAGGAAAGAGTTTCGGTTTCCGGGTCAAGAGGGACGGTTAATTGTTTTGTACGACGCGTTTGGACGTCGCGCGTCGCTGACCGCGGACGTATTCGTTTCCATTCGAATGGCCAGAAACGAGCGGATACGTTCGGCCCCGATGCAAACGGATTAAGAGGTATGTACGCGCATGGATAGGAGGTTCGAAAAGCTCGAGAGACTCGAGTATTCGAGGAGTCGATCTCGTTGATTTTTGACGCGACCGACGAACGTTCGCCGGACAGATTCGAAAAAAATACAAAGTCGCCGGCCTCGCGGTACGTTTCGACGGATACGCGTACGCGCGTACACGTGCCTGGATGGTCGTTGGAATTGTAAGCGCGTATTCCTCGAACGACTCGGCATTTTTGTTTAAAGTCCGAGAGAACGTTTCTTCGCGAAGCAATTCGGAGCTCGTGTTTTTATCGATCCCCGAGGAGCCAGCACCGACGAACGATAAAGCAGGCCGGGTCGGGCGCGTCCGCGCATTCGCGCGTCGCTGTCGAGACTCGCTCGGGATTCGGGACTCGGGACTCGGGACTCGGGATGCTAATGAAATCCGCGTCTCCGGGGCCAAGTTTTTCCATCAACGTCAGATGGACTCCCACGCGCGTATTCCGTGGTTAACGTTGTCCCGTTTGCCAGACGCGCGCGATCCACCCTTCGAGACGACGCGACGACGCGCGCCGACGTCGCCCGATACAAGCCACGCGTGATCCTCCGCGAAAAAGCCTAACGGGAGGTTGGAAATACTGGAATCGGGGCTGCTCGTACGTCGGGAAATGTCGTTTTGCCCGATAATTAGAATTCTCCTCGTTCGATCCGTCGTCGTTGGAAAATGGTAACGCGATTCCACCTGGCCGTTACACCTCCGACGAACGGTTTTCTCTGTCTGGAAGAGTCCTCGTCGCGGTACAGACACTTTCGACGATGTCGGAAACGTTGAAAGTTTCGGACGATTTCGAGAACGTTGTTTCTTCGGGTCTTCCTTTTCTCCGCGATAATTTCGGTTCGGTTTCCGTTCGGTCCGGTCGAACGAAACAATTTCCATCTTTCGTATTCGTCGAAGCGAGAACGAGAACGTACGAACGCGAGAATAAAACGAAATAAACGCAACGGTCCCGAATCGAGAACGAAGGAAGCGCGCACGATCCGCCGTTGTTTCCACCGCGGCGAAAGCAAAGGGCACCGGGGGTCGCGGTTCGTTTTATTCTCGATTCGGGGCCCGAAGCTTTGTCCGCGAACGGTAAGGTTGCCCCGTTCAGGGTTCGCGAATCGAACGCGGGTATCGAGCGCGCACGCGCGAGCCGTGCTTTCGGTTTTCGCGCGGCGAACGGCGCAAAGGCCGACCAGTCGGCACCGGTCGGCACACCAGTCGGCACCGGGCACCGCGCACCGGGCACCGGGCACCGGGCATCGAGCACCGTGCACCGGGCACCGGACGACCGCGCGTGCTGCTTCCTATGTCTTGCTACGCGTGTATCCGGCGTTCCGCTTCCCGTCTCCCATCTTCCGGTTTAAATTTTCAATTTCCTGTTTCCTATCGCCGGCCAATCGATCATGTTTTCGACGCGGTGACACCGTCGGTGGTGCGACACGAATGCGCCATGTATCCTCGCGACGACCCGCGGGCTATACCGTAGTACAGTGCCGTTCGTTTAGTTTCGGTGTTTCGAAATTCGGTCGTTTCTCTCTCTCTCTCTCTCTCTCTCTCTCTCTCTTTCTCTCTCTCTCTCTTTCGTCGAGCCCGTGTTTCCACTTTCTAGTTTCCAGTTTGTAACGCGCGATCGACCGCGCGCCCGAAGCATGGCGATCATGCAGTCCTGTTGCTGTTGGCGATCCGTCAGGAGGGGCAGTTTCGCGTGTGCGGTCTACACCGGGGTGAGCATCTTTGCCGCGTTCGACGTCGCGCGTCGCGCCCGTCCGAACATTCTTCTCGCTGTTCGTTTCTCGGTAATTGGTCGGTTTTCGCGCAATTTTCGCGCAATTTTCGCTCAAACTTGGTCGATTACGGTCGAATAAGAAGAAATTCGTTTGGATTTTCAAAGCGCGAGAGAATCGCTGAAAACGTGCGATAACGCGCGTCGTTGGTAACTTAAAATTGTCGTACTTCGAACCGTCCTGCTCGACTCGAAAGTGCACGAGTTTGTCAACGATCTTGGAGTATCTACCGTTTCCACTTCTATTTCCGCTTCCACCTCCGCTTCCACTCTCGCTCCCATTCGCATTCGCGTTCCCATTCCCATTCCTACTCCCACTTTCGCTCCCACTTCGACTTTTACTTCCACTCCCGCATCCACTCCTACTCCCACTTTTATTCCCACTTCCACTCTTACCCGTACTGCCATTCCTATCGCCACTCCCACTCCCACTCGCGCGCCTCTCTTCGACCGACAAACTCCGCGATGCGAAGGGAACAAAATATTTGGACGGTGAAAAATTGTGCGNGTTGCCCCGTTCAGGGTTCGCGAATCGAACGCGGGTATCGAGCGCGCACGCGCGAGCCGTGCTTTCGGTTTTCGCGCGGCGAACGGCGCAAAGGCCGACCAGTCGGCACCGGTCGGCACACCAGTCGGCACCGGGCACCGCGCACCGGGCACCGGGCACCGGGCATCGAGCACCGTGCACCGGGCACCGGACGACCGCGCGTGCTGCTTCCTATGTCTTGCTACGCGTGTATCCGGCGTTCCGCTTCCCGTCTCCCATCTTCCGGTTTAAATTTTCAATTTCCTGTTTCCTATCGCCGGCCAATCGATCATGTTTTCGACGCGGTGACACCGTCGGTGGTGCGACACGAATGCGCCATGTATCCTCGCGACGACCCGCGGGCTATACCGTAGTACAGTGCCGTTCGTTTAGTTTCGGTGTTTCGAAATTCGGTCGTTTCTCTCTCTCTCTCTCTCTCTCTCTCTCTCTCTTTCTCTCTCTCTCTCTTTCGTCGAGCCCGTGTTTCCACTTTCTAGTTTCCAGTTTGTAACGCGCGATCGACCGCGCGCCCGAAGCATGGCGATCATGCAGTCCTGTTGCTGTTGGCGATCCGTCAGGAGGGGCAGTTTCGCGTGTGCGGTCTACACCGGGGTGAGCATCTTTGCCGCGTTCGACGTCGCGCGTCGCGCCCGTCCGAACATTCTTCTCGCTGTTCGTTTCTCGGTAATTGGTCGGTTTTCGCGCAATTTTCGCGCAATTTTCGCTCAAACTTGGTCGATTACGGTCGAATAAGAAGAAATTCGTTTGGATTTTCAAAGCGCGAGAGAATCGCTGAAAACGTGCGATAACGCGCGTCGTTGGTAACTTAAAATTGTCGTACTTCGAACCGTCCTGCTCGACTCGAAAGTGCACGAGTTTGTCAACGATCTTGGAGTATCTACCGTTTCCACTTCTATTTCCGCTTCCACCTCCGCTTCCACTCTCGCTCCCATTCGCATTCGCGTTCCCATTCCCATTCCTACTCCCACTTTCGCTCCCACTTCGACTTTTACTTCCACTCCCGCATCCACTCCTACTCCCACTTTTATTCCCACTTCCACTCTTACCCGTACTGCCATTCCTATCGCCACTCCCACTCCCACTCGCGCGCCTCTCTTCGACCGACAAACTCCGCGATGCGAAGGGAACAAAATATTTGGACGGTGAAAAATTGTGCGGCGCAGCCGCGTCTCGCCCCGAACGCAGTTTGTTCGCAACGATCGGTAATCGAACAACGATAACACGGACGAGTACGAGTCGGTCGTTTGCCAATAGGGCGACACAGGGATGGCGCGGCGATTCAAAATTTCTTATTTGTCGCTCGGCGGCGATCGAATATTTCTTCCATGGAAACAACGTTTGTTCGATGGTCGTTGCAACGACTGGGCCAAACGACCGTGGTATTCGTTTTACGATTCCGATACACCGCGATCGCTCCGCTTCGTTTTGGTTTTACAATGGGACGCGGATCTCGACGAATAGCGCGAAACGTTGCCGTATAATCGATTAAATCGGCCGAAACAGCGCGCTTCGTTCGATTCTAAGAAATACGCGTGGAACGTGTATTCGAATTAAATTAATTCAGGTTCAAAATTCGCGTTGCATCGGCCGCGTCGAAGCGAAATGAAAATTTCACGGCATTTCACCCTTCGTCGCGGTCGGTCGGATTCGACTCGACTCGCATGTATCGCGTCGATCGCGTAACGTAGCCGTACGCTCGATCGAGTCGAATCGTCGGAGTCTCTCGTTTTACAATTTCTCTATGAAATTTAGCGCAACGCTTTGTTCTTAGACTCCGGAGATCGCACGGAACAGCGAAGAAAATGTATCGACTTTTTTCACTTTCGACCTTTGACTTTTCAATTTTCGCTTCTCGCTTCTCGCTTCTCGCTTCTCGCTTCTCGCTTCTCGCTTCTCGCGTTTCACGTCTCGAAAAGTATGCGAAATAACGCGGTGTACATACGTACGTATATTGCTAGGAACGAAGAGAACAGAGGCAAGCAAAATTCCCACCCCTGGGGAATCTTGTTTATTTCGTCGAGTTTTCTACGTACACCGGACGATATTTGTCCGCTTCGTTTTGCCAACTCGAAAACGCTGGACTTTCGTTTCTTCGTCTCTCGTCGTTGGTCGGTGTTTTTCGTCGATAACTCGTACGACCCAGGGAACCCCTCGTTTCCCGATTTCGAGAAACCTTTGGGTCGCCCTGCGTATCGACCGACGATGTCGCGCGTCGGAAATTTTCACCGGATAGAATCGGTAAAGGTAACGCTATCGTCGACGGTTTTGGACCAGAAGCCGAGGCGCGTCGAGCGGTCCAACGGAACGGGGCCCTATCGCGAGAAGGCGCCTCTCCGCCTTTCCAAGCCCGTGACCGCCGACCATGGCCAGACGCCGCGTCGGAACTATTTTTCGGATAGTTTTCGGCGTGTCCGAGTCTAAATCGAGCGCGTTCGAGGTCGAGGTGCCGGTTATCGCGTCCGGACTTTGCCCGTTCGCGTTCGCGGCAACTACCGCACACGTATCTTCGGACTCTCGGGACTCGAGTCTACGCGAGAGCCTGCCGTAAATTAACCGAAAGCGGAGCAACGTCGGACCATCGATTTTCGATGTCCTATAAAAACAAGCTGTTGCCAACAGGTGCGACGCTACGAACCTCGTCCGTGGACGTCGTTGAACGCGAAAGATACGTATCTCCGTGATCGCTCCAACGATCGACAGTCGGAGAGTAGTCGATAACGAGCGGTACAGCCTAAACGGGGCGGGAGCGTGCATCGAACCGTTCGAAGACCGAAGATCGAAGGCAACCGGCAACCGTGCGACACTCGTTCGCGGAAGAAATCTACGAACGATTACGGCTACATATATGTCTCGAAGAGAAGGAAAGCGCTACGAATATACGCGTGGAGCAGCGAGTAGACGACCTACATATTCGGTTTCGACGTTCGTAGGAGGCGCGTAACCGTCGAACGAGGCCCATGTACGAGGGACGTCCGCGTCCGAGTTAATGGGTTGTATCGCTACGGTGGGCTCGTAAAGAGGGCGACGAACATAAGCAGGCGCGTGTGCCCGTAACGAACCGCGTCGCGTGCTACGACGCTCTACTCGCGCAAGTGTCCCGAGAGATCGTAAATAATACCGGGAGCACGATCCGCGGTCGCGCGCGGCACCTGGAGAAAGAAAATTTGAAAAATGTATCGCCGAATCGCGGATATTTCTGCAAAAGACAAATTTTCTTCGGCGAATAGAAATTTCTCCCTCGTCTATACTCGACCGTCTTATCGTTGACGAACTCGAAACGATCGATATTACGATAGATATTACGAATGTTCGCTCGTTTTTTCCGTAGTCGATAACTCGCGTTCGGAAGTTGTAGAACTCTTTTAACAATGTGTGGTATAGCTTTAAACTTCGCTGCAAAATATAATTAAACTTGTAACAATTTGAAAGCGTCGAACCGTCGACCGGTGCATAGAAGATATCGTACGATAGAATATGCGCGTAGATTCTCGTTGCGTCGCGTACCACGTACCATGGATAGATACGTAGGTAGCGCGATCGAATCCATGCCAATACTTTTCACGAATCGCAAAGGTCTCGTGTTTCCGCGACGATGGTACGTATTCCTCCGGCGGGGAACGGTGCGGAACGCGTGTATCGGGAAATATCGAGGAAACGGGATATTCCGTCGAATCGACTCTGCGAGATCCCTGAGAGATCCGTGAGAAGATCTTTGAAACCGCGCGCGTCGAATTTCCCTAAATACAATAGTTTTCGTAGTTCGACTCGGTTCGGTCTCGCGATCGTTGGCAATAACCGCGTAACTCGATTCGATGGTTCGCGACCCACGGGAGATCGAACGGGCCGACGACGCGAGCCGTTCGATCGGACGAATTAATTACGAAATGAAAATGAAAACGAAGACGAAAATGAAAAAAACAATTAGTCGACGATCGACGACTGACTAGGTACGGGTACGCGTTTAAACGTCGTCGTCGAATACGAACGCGAGCAACGGCACGTTTAATATTACTCGTTGACGTTTCGGAAAGAGTGTCGATACGCGAGAAACGTTGTTGTCCCAGTTGTCTACGAAACGCGAATAAATTGTTCGAACGATTTGGACTTTGCGGTAGCAGACCGGACCGGATATTGCGAGAGCATTTGTTTCTATGTTCGATGCGTGGACGCGGACGCGGATACAACGATCGAACGGGTGGGACGGGACGCGGCGTCGAATGCGATTTAGACGAATAATGAGCGATCAGCGGCGGGCTACAAGGTTCGCGTAAACTCGTTTGCCGAGCTACGCGCAGCGGTATTCTACGCGCGTACAGCCGTTTTAGCCATTTTAGCCATACGCGAAACAGCCGGGCGCTTCCGGCGCGGCTCGGATAAACTCGCAACTTTGCGCGGAATGCGGTTTTCCTTCCTTAAAAAGCGTATCTCCCGGGTGCTTTCAAAGATTTTTCGAGATCGCTTCTCTTTCTCGCTTCTCTTTTCCGCGTCTCTTTGTACTCGACGTCGTATCGGTTAGGAGACTCGCGTCGTTGACGCGACTATAAAATACAGCGTAGCAACAGGGCGCGCGCGTTGGACAAACTCGCCTCTCCGACTCCGCGCGCGGGTGCTCGAACTCGGCGATAATTACGTCCGGTAGAACTTTTCTCGTTGCGCGCCACGCGCACCACCGTCTCGCGAGAGCTTTTATTTTTCTTTTACAGGATCGTCGGTGGTTTCTACGAAGCGTTTGCGCTCGAAGCGTGAATTTCGATGGACACGGTCGACGAGATTCGGTGCGGACCGTGGAACCGTGGAATCACGTATACGTACATACGTGTATGTACACACGTATAGGCATACGTATACGTAGACTCTAGACCGTATTGCACGGTAATGCGTTTTGCGAGCCCTCTCCGGAGAATGCGCCACGGTCGCTGCGAGGCACTGCTGTGTACCACGATGCGTAATACGTATTCGGAAATATGTACCGCGATAAAATGTACCGCGGCAAAAGCGATCCAACCGGCGCACTCTGGGCGATCCGCGTCGAAGAATGAACTTCGATAGCAGCGATCGGACCAGCGCGTTCCAAAAGTATCCGTTGTACCTCTGAAAGAGGAAAACGCCAAAGAACGCGCGAGTATACCGGCGGAAAAGGAAATTCGTGCCGGATCTTCGACTCGATTCGTAACGCGAGCCGAAGCAAAAGATTTTCGGATTCGAAAACTCGCTCGGCCGTACGCGAATCGGACGAATGGATCGAGCGGCCGCGTTCCGTATCGTATCGCGCGATCGGATCGATGCTTTTCGGGCACGAACGCTTCTCGCGATCGAAATATCTGTTTCTACCGAACGTAAGTCGCGATCCGATGCCGCGTTCGTCTTCGTCGACTCCTCTCGCCGAATCAGCCCCAGCGTGGAAATGGTCGCGGCGAGGCGAGGCGCGTTCGATCGAATCGCGTCGAGTGGCACCCGATAGAATTAGCTTCTCGAAACTAGACCCGCGGCACTTTCGAACCGATCGTTTCAGCGTCGTCCGCATAGGTTCGCGCCGATAGCCGCGCCGAATTACGGTGCGGACGTTTCAAGAATACTCGACCGTGAAAACTTGCAAATTTTCAATCGTTTTCGGCGGCAAATATTCAAGTTCTCCTCGATTCTAGAGGATCGTTCGTTGGATCCTAATGTTATATTATTTATCGTACGCTCGCCGCGGCAATCGTAGCGACAGCTTTTCGAACGAAACGACCTTCGAAAGAATCGGTCGAAACGAATCGAATATTTTCGATCCGTGGATCCGATCGGTTTACCGGAATACGAGCGAACGGAACGACGCGTAATTCCACGGAGAATTAAAACGTGTAAATTACAAGAAGAAAAGACGCGTTTTCATCCGACGATGGACGACAGACGATAGAGACGATAAACTCGATCGGTCGAATTTCTTTTTCGGTCGATTTCAATGTCGACGCGCCAACCTTTATGGAATAGAATAGAAACCTGTCTAAAGAAAGTCGGATCCGATAACCGCGCGATGGTCGACGACTGCAATTTGTTGCGATCGAACGAAACTCGTCGAATTTTCCGAGTATCGAGTTTCGCGCGAGCCGACGATGGCTAATTATAATGCGGGCGTCGTAAAAGTTGGCGAAACGTGGATATAAAGTGGAAAAATTTTTAATTGGCCAGAGTTCAAGACGCGTTATAAATCTCTCCGTCGCGGTACCCTTCGTTCTTTTCTCTCCTCTCTTCCCCTCGTCTCTTGCATGCTTCTACTCGCTCGGCGAAAATAAAGTTGGCTCGATCGAGAACCCGTTCGCGAAACTTCCTAATAGAATAATTAACTGCGGCAAGAAACTTTGTCGTTCGATAAAACATGCGCCGTCGGAAGCGTTCCGTGACCGGCGAGTTATTAAAAGTTGAACGGTCGAACGTCGCTTCGACGGTTTCCGAGCAGGTTTTTCCACCGCTTTTCCCACAAAGAAATTCGACGAGATTTTAAAGAAACGAACCCGGTGGAATTTGGCACGGCTTCCAGTTCGGTGGTAAAATATCGCGTCGATCGCGCCGATTCGTGCAAAAAATAAGCTTCGGTTTCCGTAATTAATAGACATTGTCCGAGAAGGGTCCAATTATATGGTTCGAACGTCCCGCGATCGCGCGTTTGTTCCAAGTACAAGGGTGCTCGGATAAAACGGGCAAAACGGAATTTCGTTGCTGGATAGCGAAAAGCTCGAGAACGAAGGGACAGAGGGACGAAGCAGCGCGCGACATACGATACGATACGGTCGAGAAGAGCGACGCGGCCGAAGGAGAGTGTCCGATTACGAATATAAGGTCCGCTCGGTTCGCCGCGTTGGCGCCTCCACGCTCTACGATCCACGTTCCAAACTCTAAATCCTACGGCGACGCGCGTACGTACGTACGTACGTACGTAGGTACGTCGCTTCGTCTCGTCGAAGAGAAGTTTAAAGACGAAACCAAAGGAATCCTAAACGAGAAGCGAGAAACAACAAACTCGAGATCTTCGGAGGAATCGATAGCTCCGAAAGCTCGCGCAACCCCGCGGCGTCGGAAGCGGCCGAACGAGAAGATCGACCGAGCGTCGTTCTCTCGTATTTATCGGAGGAGAAGGTACCGCTTTCTCGTTGAATAGGAACGTCCCGCGATCGCGTTCACGGCGAGAATCGGACCAGCGCCGCGCAGCGGTTGGTCGAGACGTCGGAAGTACCGCGAGGTTATCGATTCTCGGCAGAGATACCGTAACGTAATAATATCCGATTCTAATAGCGGCCGGCAATGCGAAAATTATAGCGCGCGACGGCGGACCCGCGTCTCGGCTCGTCTCTTCTGGTCTCGTCTCTATCCTTGATGAAAACGCGTGTTCCGCGGAGCTTACGTAAAGCTCCGCGCAGTTCGTGATACAAAGAGGCTTCCCGAGCTTTCGATGACACGGACGGGGGACTCGATTATTCCAGCGAGCTCGAAACTCGACGGACTCGATCCAACTAGAAGCGGATAATGGTATAAAATTGTAACTAAACATCGTGTCGATTGGTTGCAATATTCCATGGGGGCGTATCGCGTTAAACCGATGAAACCGATGAAACCGATGAAACCGATGGAACCGATTAAACCGATTAAACCGATTAAACGGGAACGAAATGATTTCGATGACCGAGCTCTGTCCGTTGCGTCGGAAATATCTTGACCGTTTGAAACTCGTGGGCGATCGGTTCGCGTCCTTCGTCCTGTGACGCGAAAGAAAGCATTCGTTTTTCCACGAACGAAATACGCTGAATTTTTAATCGAACGCGTTGCTTCAACCGCGTTGTCCGCGTTTATTTTTGCCGGGAACTCGTCGATAAATTCTCCCGTAACATCGGCGGTTCTTCCTCGTTGTCGGCAACGCGAGATCCGATCGTTTCTTTCGGACACGCGTCGTTCGAGGATTTCGACGTTGGAAAAGCCAGCGACAGTTTCGGTGCCGTAGAGTCCTGTCGGTGGATTTCTCTTGAAAAAATGCTTCGAGAACGGATAAACGCTGCTTCGAAATGTACTCTCGCGCGCGTTTTTCTTTCAAAAATTCTGCAAATTTCTCTCGCGTTCCGCAAGGAATGGGAACGCGATGAAATATCGTGCTCGCGAAAACGGTCGCGAGCGAGCGCGAAGCGACGAGATCGGTCCAAGGGCAGGATCCGACTACCGACGCGAGACGATAAGGGGGCGAGATGGAAGCGATTTCGATGATCTACGCGGTACGTTACGCGGGATCGATCGCGATCGACTGATCGGACAAGAACGGGTACGTCGCGATCCATCCTCTGGACTCACGATTCAAGACTCTAGGCCCTGGAGAATACGCGTCTCCTCGACGGCCTCGAAATGCCAGGGTGCGCGGCGGTGCAGAATCGTGCGCTCGTAATCGTCGGGTACCGGTATACGCGGCTTACGATGTTACGAATCATCCGTACAACGCGTCCCGTCGCCTGGGCCGACACGATTTTTCCTTTCTCCGCGATTCGATCCGTGCACGGTGCGCGAACGATGGATCGATTCGTCGTATTTCCGCTCGAAACGGTTCAAAGTTTTATGGGAAGTCTTTCGAGGCGATCGGTAAGATTCTTTAAACATCCGGTTTACAACGTTCGGATTCGTTCGAATTTTGACACGCTTCGTTCGGATCCGTAGACGCGTACGCGCATAGGAGAGAAGTAGCCAAACGTGGAAATCCGATGAAAATCGAATACATATTATGCGAAATGGTCGTTCGACTTGGTCGATCGAGCAGTTCGGCAGGGGTGGCGCGATCGAAGCTCCGGCCTCGAGAAGAGAGAGAAGGTGTAGGCGTAGGGTGTATCCGACGTTAATCAAAATCATGGAAAAATACAAGGACGACGCATCGACGCGGCGAGGCGACGCGACGCGACGGTGCGGCAAGATTCTACGGTATTATTTGACGGTGAAACAGCCGGAACGGTTTCCGCGAGCGACGAAATTGTTTGAACACGGACCAGCCTGGTTTCGTGCGGGACGCGAGCCGATTCGGGAATTGGGAATCGGGGATCGGGGATCGGGAACCGTCAACCGGGATTCCTTCGGGACGGCTTGTTTTCCCGGTGGCAGAAGGCGGAAACGAATACAGATCGATCGTCGGAAAATCAATTGGGAGCCGGAGCCGTGACCCGAGCCCGTGGAATTTCGCCGGAGCGCCGACTGGAGGCAATAAAATGTGCAATCTTGGGGTAGCCGCCCCTCGAGCGTCGGCTGGAAATTTCATTTGAAATTTCTACGCGTTCACGGATTATGACATCGACCGGCTTGCGCGAGATTGAACGAACCTGATCGAGCTCCGCGGGCGAGCGCGACTCGTTTCGAGCCCTGTTTTTTCGAAATTTCACTTATAATCGACCGGTATTTCCTCTTTCTCTCTTTCTCTCTATCCGTAAAGCAGAATTCGTTTCGCCGGAGAAAATGTTGGCGTTCGTTAAAATTCTTGGAAATTTCCTGAATCGCGAGAGGAAGCGTTCGTTCGTTTCGTTCGTTCACCCTCCGACCGTGGGCAACGAGCGTTCTAAATACATATTTTGTAAAACTTGGCGGAAAAAAGAAATAAATGTAAAACATTTGAAACGTTTCGCGCGCGAATCGATATCGATGCGAACAAAATAAATCCACGTATTTGCCGTTGAAGTATTTTTGATTCCGAACGGCCTATTTCCACCGCGTATTCTTTCGACTAAAACCGCATCCCGTTCACGCGATACCGTATTTCCTTATAGATCTACTTCGCCGTGCTGGCGCTAACCACCGGCAACGTGCTCCAGGGGGAGAGCCAGTATCTGAGGGGAAATCGTTCGTTGCCGGAATCCGACAGCTTTCTAGAGTCGGACACCATGTCCCCTAGTGAGTACCCGTATCGTGACAACGGTAGCCGCATCGGACAACGAGGAACGAGGAACGTGAAACGAAAAAACGAGAAAACAAGAAAACGAGGCAACTCGCGCGTTCCCTACCCCGAAATCCAAAATCGAGCCCTTGACCGATAACGAATAAGTTCATGCATACGTACACACATACATACATACATACATGCGCATGTAGAACCGAGATCGCGATCCACGAATATGTTACCCGTATGACACGGTTATATTGATTCAGCAACCATGAGGATCAACGTGGCCCTGCTACTGTGCTCGTGTTGCGGCGTCGTTTGCAGCATCATGCTCCTCTACGGTCTCTTCAAGGTGAGTCGATCTTTTTCGCTCCGAAGAATCGTACGCGAAAGTTCTATCGATGCTCCATACGATATCGCGTATAGTTGCACGGTTACCGGTGTACGCTGTAATCGCGCAATCGTTCGGTCGTACGATCGTACGGTACGTTTCGTTGACCGAAACGCCAAGGAAACCCACGCGCGATCGCTCGTCCTTCGTTCGTTCGATGTACCATACTATGCTGTACGGAACATGTATGCGCGAGTACGTAGAGACACGTCGGTCGATTTCCACTCCAGGGTTCGTCGTTGCGGACTCGATCATCGGCGATAAGCGGAAATCGTGTGCGGTAGGACGCACGGGTTGGCGCGCGGTGTCCGGTCCGGAACGAAACGGCAAAAAATGTACGAGCCGGATAAACCGACCCCCACCCCTCGGTCGACATCCTCCGACCTCGGAATCTCCCCGGACAGTTTCCCCGGGGAGAGAGAGCTTCCTCGGAACAGAATAGAATCTTGGTTTCTGTCCGACGGGAACCGCGCGCAGTGGGCGGAGCACCCGCGGTTATTTATCGCGTTCGTTAAACTTCCGTTAGGAAGGGGCAGCGAGCGGATTCTTCGAGTCGCGTCCCGTTTCGACGAAACGTCGCGAAATTTGTCCGTGGTCGTTCGTTTCCTCGATCGAAACGTTCGCCGAAAAATGGTGTTCCTCCTCGTCGACGTTCGCGCGGGTTTGTAAATTTCACGCGACAGGAGCACGACCAGCGAGCGTTCTAAATTCAAACTTGTAGCTTCTAAATCGAATTTCTTCGAAATATTTCAAAAATATTTGCATCGAAACGCGAAACCGTTCGACCGATTCTCGCAACCGGACGTAAAATTGTCGGTAATACGACAAGTAATACGACAACGGTAAGTTGCGATGGCAGCTTAATCGGGGTTGAAAATCGTACATCCGCGCCTATGTAGTTTTTACGAGAACGTATTTACCCGGAGAACGTCGAGCGACCGAAAATTGTCGGACTACCGGTATACGTACATATTAAATACGGACGAATTCGCAAAGAGTTCGGTGTAGCAAATTTCTCTTTATTTGCTCGTGGCTGACGCGCACGGAACGACGCGACGCGATACGGCATGGCATCGTGGCACCAGCCACGAAGCAGAATCCATTAACGCACCCGAGACGATATCTCTCCTCTCTCTCTCTCTCTCTCTCTCTCTCTCTCTCTCTCTCTCTGTTT